CTTCGGTATTCAATGCTATTTTTGAACATGTTCATCATAAAGCAAATCAACAACCCACTCAGTGGCCACGACATTCAATATGAGGACTCATCAAACGCTCTCGATCTCGCACGTTGTCTCTCTACACTTTCTTGTAGCCTTACTTACTCTTTAAGCACAGCCTGGTAATGAGGAGCAAGAGGAAAATGCCCCGAATCTTCTAGAGGTGGTCGAGGTCCCAGAGGCAGGCGGTGGACTTCTTGACAGGCATCGGAAACTGACGGCACTTCTCATCGTACGTTAGCAAGTGTTCTTTTATTCACATCTCCTAACCCACGTTGTGTCAAAGGTCATTTTATTTTTTGTTGTAAGGAAACTCACTGTCATCGCCCAATAGTCGCGCCGCATTTCACATTATGCCCGGTTCATATCTTCATCTGACATTTGTCGGCTCCCTGTCAACTTGTATATCACCACATGCACAAATGTAACATACACCTGCTTTGCACCTGCTTTGGTCTTTTTTTTTACTCGAACATGATTCACATCGTTGCTAATACCATCATTCTTGTAGTTATCACCTCATCTCAATATATCTGTACTATACCGTCTTCCAATGCTGAAAAAGTTTCTACAATAATAGACAAGGCTCTGATCCTTCATCCCTTCACAATGTATTGAATTGTAATTGTTGATATGACACTGGCTTAGCTTTCGCCTAACAATTATCCTAGCTGAGTTTCAAAAATATAACCATGTACGAACAACAAACTGGTGTTTCTGCTGAATTTGGTAATATTTTGCCACGTCCCCAGGGACGACCACCAATTGTGCTTGAGCCTCGTCACAGGGCAAGTTCAAACTATTTTTTGTGGTACAGCGGCATGCACAAGGGCGGGAGGTTAACATTTTAACGTCAACCTTGATTGTTTTGTAAAATCAATGAGAGTTCCATTCCTTCGCCATTTAATACATCTGATATCCACACACTTGTTTGCAATGGTGCAACTTGAATGACCTCAGTGTACAAATTCTGGAACTCATGGCTAGGCCTCGAGAAAGCAAGACAAAAAAATTATGCAGCATAGGACTGAAGTTTTTTTTTTGGTTTTGCCAATTCAATCATATTGCAACAGAGTGAAATACAATTAGTGAGCCAACCTGGTGAAGAGGGGGCATGTATCATGTACCACTTGATATTTGAAATCGCTTGTCAGTTTGGTTGGTTTGAACTTTGAAGTGTACGAATGGGCAATGCCACATAACTGCAGCATCAAGTTGTGTCAGCCTTAAACACAGTCTAACTTAGAAAAGCTTCAAGAAGCATCGAGAATGCAATCATAAGGTACAGCGTCAGGATGACTTTCACAAGGTATTAATCAGAACCCCGTCGCTGTCGCCCCTCCAAAGTCAGGAGGGAACCGTTCAGGCGGCATGCCCATCATCGGATCTCCTCTTGCTCCAGCAGCTGTCTTCGCTGCCACAGTGGAGTGCAAGCCCTCCAGGGTTTCTGTCCACCTCTCAAGTGCGGCATAACGCTTCTTCTCCAGTACGTGGCTGTGATTGAGTCAGTATGAAGTGCGTAAAAGGAAAACGACAGCGATCTTCTCACCTTTGATCGAGTTCAAGCCGCATGCCGACTTGGTCGATCCGACCATCAACCTTTCCTTCTAGAATGAGCCCAATAAGAAGCTCCTCGACCTCAGCAATTTCGACATTAAGTTGCTGAACAACTGTCAGTGCCAAAGATAGTTGAAAAAAGAGCGAAATCACTTTGGCGAGGAACGAAAGCTCCAGTCTCGTGTAGGGCTTGATGAGGTCAATCAAGTAGGAGGTGCGCAGGCTGCGCAAAAGTTCACCAATATATGATCTAATGAATAAGTCATCCATAATCGTTGACCGATTATCTGCCACCACGTTGAGCACCATGGATTGGAACATGAAGGGACTTACCTCGTAAGATCTTCTCAGCCAGGTGAACTTCTCTGCGTTGATAGGCATCTACAAGGTCAGTCATTGCCTTGATCTGTGAGTCGTTCTTGTACGGCTTTGTCTCCTGGGAGTCGAATGGGTTAACTTCAGATCCAGTAAGCATGTTCGCGAGGACAAGATACTTGAGGACTTGGATGCGTTGCGGAGAGCCGGCTTCGTCATAGTTGCGGAAGGACTCAAAAAAGTCTTCCGATGCACGATTCCACTGTCCTGTATGATAGCGTTAGACATGAGTAAGGATCGGGGATGAACAAGAGTCACTTTCGCCCATCCACATCTTGCCTCCGCACTCCTTGATAACACCCATGATCCGTGGATGTGGAATTGCGGAGCGCACACTGTTGGATGCATTGTATATTTCCTACGTTCGACGACTTGATTAGTAGGTCTGAATGATTGAGTGGGATGCGAGGTTGTACCTTGAGCTTCTTGACATTACGCATCTCATTGTGCATTTGAATCTCGAGTGCATAGATCTCGAGGAGCTGTGTTCCCCGTTGCGACTGGTCTTCGCCATCCATGGCAGCCTTAGTCGTGGCGTGCAAGTCGCGGATGAGCTAGTTGGTAGAGACTGTTGAGGCCATATATACGAAGATAAATGATGAATACCTTCGTCAAACGCCCGTACTCTTTTCGATCTAGCCAAAGTTTCGCCAGTTTTAAGTTCGTCTTGACAGACAACCGCTAGAGAGGATATGAATGTCTCAAAGAGCGTATTGTACCATTGCAGTACTCACGTCATTCTTCGCTTCCTCAAGCGCATCCTTGGTGACCTGGTAAAACTTTTCTAGTACATCCACCTCGACGGGACCACTCTTCCCACCGCCAACATAATCAAGGATGCCATTGATGGTCTTCTCAGAGTAATTTCGTGTGACTGCAGACTTGGTATAGGTGAGGAGTTGTATGTAGGTCTTCAAGGCATCTGCTGGTCGGTGCAGCTGTAGGAAGAGGAGTTTGGTAGATTGCTTCAGAGCCTTGAAGCCCCTGTGAAGTATCCGTTAGCATACAGTTGGATCAATGGGCAGGGAGACTATACCAGTCGCCTTTATCTGTTTCCTGGTCCACTATAGCGCGAAAATCTTTTAGTGCTTCCTCTGGTGTATCTTCTTTCTTTGCTGGAAGAAAAAATGCATCAACAACTTCTGCCATACACCAGATTGCTCACATTTTGCAGTATAGTACATGTTCTCTACATCAGCACTACCGGATTCGTTGGCCTCGTCTCCATCAGAGTAGTCGAAGCCGTAATCCTGTAAAATAGCTCAGAATCAGCATAACGTCCAAGGGGCTGATCTTGATGGGAGTGTGACCTCATCATCACTGCCTTGCATATAATCGGCATCATCGTCATCCATCGTGAGCTTAAGTTATGAAAGAGATGCAGTAAGCGACGAAGTGATGGAGGTGTGCAGCTTCGTGAGGAGGTGGCACACTACACGCAAGTCACAAGTCTTCTCTAGTAGTAGTGCTATCTAAGCAACATCGAAAGGGCACAGCATTGTAATTTGAACGCGAACAAAAGTTACTGGAAGACGGATTCGGCTCATATTGTATTCATATTCAGACGGTGTTATATTAATTCTCGCCAGAATCTTGGATAATTCCATGGGTAGGTTGGTCGTGAAGGATAGAAAGAGACGTGCAGGCATCACGGAGATGATCAAATATAGTTATAATAGACACAGAAACTGCGACTAAATGCTTAGCAAGTGAGGTGCAATATTTAGTTTCATGAACCAGCCGCCTTGCTCAGGGACAATAAGCTCTCACTTCCGAGGGGCTAGCAGCGAGATGCGAACGCAACATCGAGTAGCAACGTGCACAACGCCTGATAGCACTCCGAGCGCAAGTTACCTGACCTGTAGGATCCAGCAACTCCACAATTAAGACGTGATTTGTGCTCAGAGGGATGGTAATGAATGCACAACGGAATCAGCTTGCACCCAGGGTCGTGCTCCAGTGTTTCCGCCAAAAAGGCAGGACTCGCCATGCCCACCGCATCGCCAAGACCATATGATTGCCGATGTCGACCTCCACATAAGAATAGGGATGAACGAAGAGCTTTCATCAACAACGTCAGTTGCTTCCTCAAGATAAGTTTCGGCATGTCTGACAACGCGCCATGTGCGATAAATGCGTCATGATTGGTTGAGACCCGCTAAATTCATAACAAGGTCTCATATACCTGACCAAATTGCGAGCACTCGTAGCCGGCCAGTATCTGGTATATCGTAAGACCTCAAGGAACAAAAGACTGATAGCATGCTCTACGTATACGCCTCCTGATAACGATGGAAGCATCCTATGACTGTGCCTGCGAGATGATGCAATTAATATCTGCCTACATGAAAGGCAATGAACATACTCATGCCAAGGGCCTCTGGAATGCCCTCCATTCATTAGGCCAGCCGTTCTTCGGCGGTGTATCTGTTGGTATGCGGAGTTCTCTGGGAAACAAACCCCCCACTCTGGACTCAACAGCCCGCTTCTCTGGTTCGGACATACTCTTCATGGCCTCCACCTCAGCCAAGCTCCTTGCTCTTGGATCCTCTTGCTTATTTGCTTCCCTAAACAGCCTCGAGTCAATTTCTTCCAGTTCTTGCATTGCCTGCCTCATGCAATTAAATTTGCGCTGCAGTTCCGCGTCCCGTTTTTTGCGTAGGTGTCTCTGATGGAGGAGCCAAGCACGCTCAATGGTCTCGTGCGCTTGAACAGAGGGAATCGCGCGCTGGAGAGCGCGCGCAACATCTGGGCGCCATGTACCAGTAGGAGAGGCTTTGTTGCGGATGTTCGGAGGGTACAGGTGACGGCGGAGGATGTCTTTCTGTGGATCGGAAGAAGACACTTCACCCTTGCGGGTCGAATAAAGCCGCGCGCGCAGTCCGCGCAATTGGGACGGCAAGCCGTTTGATTTCAAAACTGAGACTGACATGACCTGCAGCGCGCGACAGTGAAAGCGAGTGAACGGTGAAGCTGAGGTCAACTTGAAATTTCATTACTTTGTTCATTTTCCCACGGCTGCTTTACTTGAAATTCTTGAGAGCTGACACTGAGTGTGATTGAACAGAACATGTCCTTTTCCCTTGGGCTGCTCTGTCGGCAATGTTGCCATTCAATTCTTAGTCCAGTAAGTATCTACTTGTCTGAAATGTTCTCATCTGAATTTGCGCAGCGCCCAGCACTCGTTCGAGAGTTTTCTTCAACACCTATCTTAGCCCTACGACGAACGAAAAAGATTCCGGTGCTCTCCAAGAAAGCCCTCGCAGCAAAAGCAAGAAAGCGCGCAGCGAAGGCTCGCAAACACATATATGAGAATGAGAAGATGACTCTCGAAAGCGCTATTGACGTGATCCGTGTATGTTCCCCGGGCCTTATTACAACTCATTAACCCAAGATCTTGGTAGGCGGTTGAAGTTGCAAAAGCAAATGCTACATACGAGCTGGTAATCAAGACTGCCATGTCCCGTGGATCTATCATTCCAAAGGGTCGTATTGCTCTCCATCGTGAAACTAAAGCTCGCCCCGAAGACCGCATCCTTGTATTTGCCGAGGGCCGTCAGGCAGAAGAGGCAAAGAGCGCGGGTGCACACATCGTCGGTGGCATTGAGCTAGCAGATGGTGTAATCAGCGGCAAACATCATGCAACCACCATTCTATGTTCCACAGCCCTCATCCGGACCATCACCCCAAAACTCGGACGTGTCCTCGGCCCGCGTGGTTTGATGCCTTCTGAACGTCGAGGGACGGTTACGGATGATTTTGCCGGCTACTTGCGGCGACTTTCTGGTACTACAGAGTGGAAAGGCGACAAGAATGGCGTCATTCGGATGCCTATTGGCAAGGTCAGTATTTTTGCCCAGCCCGCGTCCGCTAGCCGCGGTCTACTATTTCTAAACACCTTTATTTGCCGACAGCTCCATTTCCCGATAGAAGACGTAGTTAAAAACGTCAAGCAATTCGTGACCGCTGTCAAACGGGTGACCGGGAACCAGAAAGATGCCGAGGAGAAGGGAAAGAGCAAGAGTGTCAAGCCTGGTGAGTGTCTCTGGCACTTTGATCTTTTCTGGTATCGACTGAGCGACTACTAGTCAATGCCATCACACGTGTAATGCTGAGCTCAACGCAGGCACCCAGCATCCAGATATCGGACATTTGATATAGCAGTGTTGATCGGGAACCAGACAGTGAAAGTTCTGATTTCAAATATTCTGCTTGAGAGCAACGTGTTACTTGTGCATCCTTGCAAAATCACCCTTTCCTTGTCACTAAATATTGAAGTACATTTATATATCCTATAGTAGATGTTTCATAAAGTGATGCCACCACTATCCGGCTCCTTGTCAGCTCTGCTTGTCTCAGATAGTCGACCAGGAACGTTAGAAAGATAGGTTCGCGTATTAATTGACCCCTTCAAGTTGGTACGCGCACATAACACGTTGAGATGGCGTGTTTAGCACTGTCTGAGGTGTACGTGAATCGATAATGACTGATTGACACTGTCATCATCATCATGCGTAGCTAGTTGATAGGAGGAAATAGACCAGGAAAGCCTACATTTCTGACCAAGTTACATTCAGGTGAAAACTCGCCAGGTTTCCTCACCAACGGGGAGCAACACTAAGTTCGATACAATGATACTGGTGATACATTAAATTCGTCTGGTTTGCAGTAGTGTAGTAGCGTGTGAGAGGAAACGAGCAAAGCAAATGCGAGAGATCCAAACAAGAAAAAAGATTTACACTATCGCTCAGCCAGCAATGCGGAGTGTTCCTTCTGCACTGCACGATCGCGTCTGGAAGCCATCTTCCTCTCTTTCAACGCCTCCTCTACTTTTGAATAACGTTTCTCGCCTTTTGTACGGTCTCGCCCCTTTGCCCTCTTTCCAATATCATCACCCCTTGATCCACCCTCCCGCATAGACTGAAACTTCTCCTGCGGACGATTTTTGGGCGGATGAGGGAAGATATCACCCCAGGACGATTTCCGCGCGTCATAGAATGGTTGTTTGCCTTGGGATTTCGGGATAGTAATACGCATAATTTTGCCTGTATCATATGTTAGACCAGTCACGGGGCTAGAACTGAGGAATGGCGACAAACCTTCCGCGGTGCATGCGTCAATGATTATGTGCCCGCTCTTTTTCAAAGGTGGGAAGACGAGGCGCGGCCAATGGAATGCCTCATTTCGCAGCGCGGCTTCGACCCCCTCTGAGTTTTCAGCTGGCAAAATTTCCAGAGGAATATGATCAGTTGCTTCAGCTTCGTGCCTCGTTTCGACATGATCTGCGTCAAGTACAAGTTCCTTCGTTACCCTCTCTTCCTTTAGCCTGATCTGCTCTGCCTCCTCCCGACCGACAGCGCCAACGCGTCCTACACTCCTCACCTGCGTGGAGATGCCTTCGCCTACTATGCTTGGGCGTGGCCCGCGTTGAATTACAATATAAGAGTACTCGATATCTTCGTGACCCTCACGTGCATGTTTTGTGAGACGAACAAAGGACGGACGTTGCAAGCGTTGTGAGAAGCCACAAACTAGGCTCACAGATTTTCCAAAGTACAGAGGGCAAGCACCATCGTGCGGGCACTATTGCAGGAAGTCAAGAATCTTAGTATGACTCATCGCAGGGCCGAAAAGTCCAACACCTACAGGAGCGACAACGTGGGCACCGCGAATAGGCCAGTCTGAAGTTTCTGGGTCATTGAGTTCTTTACGCCCCATCTCGAGGAGATATTCGCGTGCTTCTGCAATGTTCTGAAACCCAGCTTTCGTTTTGTGATCGATCAGGATCTAGAATAATTTTAGACTATTGGACAGTGATTGAAGTGAAGGGACAAAAATGAAAGCTCACGATGGTATGTGCTCCACTTTCCCACAACTCTTTCACGAACTTCTTCCGCGCAAGAGGGGTCTGTAGAGTTGAAAGCATGAAAGCAGACAGGGCAAGAGTATCAAGCCCCTCCGATCGCTTAATTTTATCATCTTCCCGGAAAGACCTTTGCCAAGTTGCGCTGAGGGCGCCCAAGTCTGTATCTGTTTCATTAATTTAGCGAGTGCGCAGCGAGATGCAGCACGCATACGTTACCTCTCAGTAGACGTTTGCCTATTGCAACAAGTCCGTCACGTTTATCGATACCGAGGTATGTGAAGATATTGGATGTGGAGAGGCGCGGTTCCTCGGAAGCGCTATTGGGTTTCTGAAAAGTATTCGTCGATGCCCTGATGTTCTTCAGCATCTACAAGTTACAAACATCTACAACGTACCATAATCCACTGCCTGCACCTGAGCCCCAGTCTATGACACGTTTCACATTCCATTGTGGACCTAATCTGTGCTTAACATGGTGGAGCACAGCACAGATGGCAGAATAATGTGCAGGGAGAACGACCGACGCGAACGCTGTCCCGTCACGGTCAGAGTGTCGCGCCCCTTGCTTACGAGAGCGGTATTTCACGTCGTACGAGTGATCCCATCCTTCACTCTCATGAAAGAAGAGACGCGTGGCATCACTATGTAGCTGCACCTTGTCAGAAGCTGATAAGTGATTAGAATGTGCAGAGACTGATTTCACCCGACAAACCATCTATCAGAGCAGTAATTGACTTCTGCAATTCAGTGGGCATAACAACAGCACCAATTTTTTGGCTTCCGAACCGCGCTGCAGGAGATTTGCGGTGCTCGTTTCGTTCAGAGTGATCTTCAACAAAGTTCTCCGCGTCCTTGGCCTCCTCTGGGTATTCAATCGCGACAGGTTCAAGCTCGCGTGGTGGTCTCTTTGCCATTACGTGCTTATGGCTTGTCAAGGAGATATCTATGTCTTGCAAAAGCGCCTTTAGCGTTGGGTCGAGGTCTAGAGCCGCGTTAGGTTGGGCTGATGCTGCAACTGCTGAGGTCGAGAATGGGGTGCCAACATGTCGAATACTGTGCGCAAGGATGCGCAAAGTAGTGGATGTACCTCGAAGCATCCTAGTAGTACTTGAAAAGTTGAGGTAGTCTCAGCTCAAAGAGCGTAAGTCAAAATTGTGCGATTATATAATGGAAGTGTTTAGTTAGGCTCATCTGCAGACTTTGTACAGACGCGTCCATCCCAATGACCAGCAGGAAACAAGCTATCCCAAATGACTCTCTTAGCTTTGATGAGCGTCCTGCGAAACGGACAAAAGTAGATGATGAACGCGAGGAGAGTACATCTTCCGCGGAACCGTCACACGCCATGGCGGATATTACTGGGGCAGCACGAGTTTCAGAAGATGAAGACGAAGGTTTAGAAGATGAGGTCGAACCAGGGCAGTCAAAAAATGAACCTAGAGCGTCAGACCTTTACCTTGACACAGTGCGCCATTCAATGAAACCCATTGCGCACGTATTTGCTGACAAGACCTTTAGATCAATCGAGCATTGCTCGACTTTGACTTCGAGAAAGTGTGCTCTGTATCTATGTCAAACATCAACACATACGGCTGTCTAGTCTGTGGAAAGTACTTCCAAGGACGAGGTCGCAAGTCGTACGCCTATGCGCACTCCATTCATGATGACCACCATGTTTTTATCAACCTTGAGACAACAAAAGTGAGCTGGCTGAATGTTAATCACACATACATAGACTTACGACACATAGGTATACGTTCTTCCAGATGGTTATCTTGTCTCTGACCCATCTCTCGAAGACATATCGTTTGTCCTCAACCCATCCTTCACGAAGGTTTCCATATCCACCCTCTCCTCGCCATCGCATCTTCTGAAACCCTCCTACGACCTCTCGTCAAAGCCCTATCTTTCTGGTTATATTGGCTTAAACAATATCAAGCGAAATGACCACATGAACGTTATCATACATTCCCTCCTCCACATCCCTCCTCTACGGGACTACCTCCTTCTGTCCTCCTTTCGTGGCAAGGAAACCGAACTCGTTAAACGATTCGCCGCTCTCGCCAAGAAGATATGGAACCCCCGGCTATTCAAAAGCCAGGTTAGCCCTCACGAGTTTCTCCAGGAGGTCAACCGCGCTAGTGCGGGTAAGTTCCGACTCGAGCAACAAGGCGATCCTGTCGAGTTTCTGGGTTGGTTACTTAACCGACTACACAAAGACATGGGTGGAACTAAGAAAAAAAATTCGAGTAAGTCGTGTAGACCGACTAGCCTGCTGTTTACCCTCGTTCGGCCTCCGAATTGATACATGAAATGGACAGGTATTATATTTTCAACGTTTCAAGGGGAACTCCGCGTGGAGACACAGCAGGTCGTTGTCCGTCCGGACTTTACGGGTTCTGAGAAGCCGCAGTTTGATATTGACAGAGGTGGGATCGACTTTGGTGGTCACCTGGACCCTTATTCATAATAGTGCATGTCAGACATCAAGGCTACTGTATCGCCGTTTCTCTTCCTAGCGGTTGATCTTCCCCCACCACCTCTTTTCCAAGATACGATCGAGAAGAACATCATCCCACAAGTTAGCATTCATTCTGTGTTGGCCAAGTATGATGGAGTCACCACGCAGGCGAGTTTGGCTCTGCTTTTCGGTTCTTTTATTGAACCGAACTGATATGATACGGATACAGGAGTCTGCGGGCCAGTTACGCAGGTACAAGTGTCAACGCCTCCCACAGTATATCATTTTACACTACAAGCGATTTACAAAGAACGCCTTTGTCGAGGAGAAAAACCCGACGATTGTCACATTCCCACTCAGAGGAGTTGATTTCCGTGAATGTGAGCGCTTTGAGCCATACTTACGTGATAATCGCATTAGCGTAACCAATGACTGATGATACGATTTTGTGCTATAGATCTGGATGCAGCACCAACGCATCCGCCAACCGTCTATGATCTGATCGCCAATGTAACCCATGAATCAGTTGCTGGAACCACTCGTGACAAGGAAAACACGATTTGGAAAGTTCATCTCCGTGCCGCTGGCGGGGGGGGCGAGGGCGAGAAATGGTTCCAGATCCAAGACCTCATCGTTGAAGAAACGCGCAAGGAGATGATCTTCCTTGGGGAGACCGTGCTGCAGGTGCGCTATTCCTGTATTATGGATTGTATTGTATGATCTCACGCGTTCAAATTAGATATGGGAGCGGCGTGCTGCGAACGCCGATGGTAACGCGTCAATGAAGATGGTTGTCGATCGACGGTGATACCGAAGCGTTGGGTAGGCTGAGGAGATACCGGGGTTTCGACTTACAGTATATAGGATCCCCGCCCTCAATAAGACCGGAGATACAAACATACATCTTACATATCATGATACACACCAGCGCATGTTAATGGAGCTCAGCGAAGCTCGCGCGTTACTAATCGTCCAAGACAACACATGAAAATGCATTGAACTGTCTACACCCCTTTTCCGGGCACAAAATGTTCCGAGTACGGCCGCCGTTCTCCGCGGCGACCATAGACTAGCACACCTCTCTGATTGATCAAAGAGTGTGTGGGCACGCCCTTAGGGGCGCATACCCTGCTGCACGTTACTCCATACAGTGCTAGCGCAGTATAATGTCACTTTGCCGAAGAATGCGGCGACGGCGAAGATGCAGGGGAATTCCCTGGCACCCCGGGTGATGTTGTTGGCGCGTTCATTGGAGGGATTGGGTTTCGGCTGATGATGGCAATTTAAGTTGGGGTAGGATCGCACAATATGCATGGCAAACTCACTTCGCAGCAGCTTCTTCGAAAAGAGGTTTGAATATGTATACACCCGAGGCGACGCCTGGTTAGTTTCACAGCGGATATAACATTAATGACAGAGATTGAGATGACTCTACTTCATACCTGTTAAAACTGCGACTATGTATGGAGTGAACCGCCGTGACATGGATGATGGCTTTGTGTGAAGCGTGCAAACCACGAACAAACACGGCAATTGTATTTCCGTTTTGAGAGAAAAATTCAAACTCAGCGGCTATGTTTGCCTCGAGGTTGCAAATCGAAGAGGCCAACGCGCAAGTAGATTTATGTTGTCGAAAGTCTAGCGACACTCCTCTCGCAAACGAACAGACCAAGTATTTGCGCTGTTGACCCAGATGAATTTCTATAGGAATATAGTAGTTAAAAGCAAGCCGTTGTACAAAGTAGCGCCAAGCAAAAATATCAATTAATGCCCAATCTTTCACAAGCAATCCGCGCCGCTTCCTCTTTGGCGACACCCTTCTGATTGGCAGTGGCAGTACTGATGACTTCGCCCTCCACTGTGAATGATGACGTCTTAGACGAATTTCTTCGTTCCGAGAGATGAACAACACGTGCCTTTGCAAGTCATTGTCCATGAGAGAGCATGCGGCGGCCCAGACTGAACCTCAGCCCAGGTGACAGCGTGAAGCCTGCGGCGGGATTGATAGTCTTTACAGTGTCACAATTAGTGTCTCCTGGCTTTAATAAAGCAAAGGCTGGACTTGCGGTTGTTCAGGGCAATAGTGTAACCTGGAGAAATATCAGCATCATTCAGTGATAATCTAGATGCGATAACATACGCGACATTATGTGCAGGCAACAGATTAAAGTCTTGTAAAACTGGGAAAGTGAAGAGTACTTGTCTGTCCTGTAGCACAACTTATGCGTATTTAAATCTGCAGGTCCAACGACATGCCGCGAGGCAGCCAAAGTGAATACCGATACTAGTGTCCGATATCGTCTGCATTGGTCACGGAAACCAGGTAACCGCAGTTCCGTGGCCACAATGAAGAAAGTCCCGTCGTATTAAATCAGACAAACTGCACAGGATAAATATAACTGCAATTTTTTTCAGAAGCCGCAGGGGAGTGCTCTTGAAGACCGAGGTAGACATCACCTTTTGTGAAACCGCTCATCTGCTCTAACAACCATAGAAGGCAGAGTCACTGGAAGACGGAGCCGCACCAAGAATGATATACATCAGTGTCAACGCTTCGGTCCGGTTTGAACACCGATCGAGGCACTAGGAGGCTAGCAAAACCGGATATAATGGACCTATAGTCTGGTTAATCCATATTGGGGGGACGGAACCAAGGAGTGGCTGAGATGCAATCTATTTATGCTTTGATGCAATGCAACCAGCAACAATTCCTGGCCACGGCGGCTCTGCGCGCTCGAGAGAGGCCCGGTGAAGATGTAGATAAGAAAAACTCAACGATCGCGTGGCCATACGACACACGCGCGAGGGTCGGACAGATACAGCGGAGATTTATGGTCGGCACTCTCTCCATAAGTCCGACAGCAGATCGATCATACCTGGGGCCCAAGTCTAGTCACCGACATGTGACAAATCTGGGAACTGATGGAGGTCGATCAGGGTCGATAGGGAATCATTGGCAAAGAAGAGTGTCTCTGAATCTAAACTGTGAACGTTGAAAGGTTAATTGTTGTGGGCGTCGATCCAAGACTTGGAAGGGCCGCAGTGTATAAAGATATCAGTGTAGTCCATCTCGCCGATTATTTCGATACAACATAGGAATTTAGATATTGACCGGAAGGAGCTAAGTAACATCACCGTGCTTGAGTCAGCATAATGGCTTCCGGTGTCTTACTATACCTCCAGCATAGCACGGTCGAAAGCTAATGAAAAACTGCAAAGTGATATGTTACCCGTGCTGGTCTGGATGGGAGACGGAGTATAGCACTCAGGTCAACAGCAAGTGCTGCGTGGTAAGGGGTTTCATCGACCCTTACTAGCTGGCGAGTGTCGTCTAACTTAGGATGAACAAAAGATCTGAGAGGGGCAAAAATAATCAGACCCTGATGCTCTAATGAGACAGATTAGATAAGATGAATGACGTGTATAAACTAAAACGGTGCAGGTACAGGAACTTCCATTGAAGAAGTATGTACGATGGATGGTTATGCATATTGATGAATGAAAATACATGAGGATGAACATAGAAGAAATGCACAACTTGCAAAAAAGGGGGAAATGCCAACAAATGAAGATAATCAATCCAACATGAACTTGACTAACGCATTGACATCTGAGAACCAGCCTCCGCGGCGGTAACTTGTCATTCAGCCTTGATCAGACCTTAATGCAGTCAGCGCGTGACTAGCCGCTACATTTCTGGCTTGATGTTTATGAGTCCCCGAGCCGACTCCATAGGGAACACCGGAAACTTGAATGGTGGATCAGAGACGTCTGATAAGCGGATACAAGGACAAAAAAAACTTGCTTCTACACGTCGAGGTCCATACATATTGATGAGTAAGGCCCTCTCGTACATCGATCCAGCTTAAAGCGGAGCCTTGTCCGATGGATTGGAGATCTGAAACCTACAGTAAGTCTTTTAGATCACCAAAGCAATTGCACGAACAATTATTGAGCGCATTTGTGGAGTCTTCAAATGTCGTCAGCTGAGGCAGAGGATTGCAAGGGACTGTAACAAACCATTAGCTTGGGTTCTTCCAGACATTGCGAATGTTTGAGTTGATGACCATACCTGAACTTACTGGCAGTTATTATACCATTCAAACGTATGCTTCATGAGACTTTGGAAAAAGAGAGACGGTGTTGAGTGGAGGCAATGCCCGATGGAACTAGGAGAATAATGTTTTCATGATCGCGGCGTTGAGGAACATAACGGGCGGAAAACCAAAAATTCCCAAGATGCATGAAATAGGGCGAGCTGCATGCAATGACGATCGACTCAGTGAGAAGATGCGAGGGACTAAGTGACATGTGCCCCTCATGTATCTTGTGCAGTGGATCGTTCCAAGCGCCTTACGACCGAGCTCGGAATGAATGATAGTACACATTTCCTCTGCCAATGGGTACGGGAGAAGTTCGAGCGATACTATGGGGCGTGGTCAATCATAAACATTGTCTGTAAACACTTCTATACGAACCGGTGATAAGTCAGTTAATCCCGTTCGGTGTGACGATGTTAGAGAACCTAACCAGGAACCTCTGCGATTGGATCTGTTGTTAAAACTTTCGCGCATTACGCCCGTCATATGCACTCAGGGTGCGGTAACAGATCAAAAAATGGCACCAGGCAGACGTGCGCTCGGGCCTGTGCGGTGGAAAGCAGGCATGTGGAATACGCATTTATGCCTTTAACGATTACACGTTGTTGCACAGTATTTTGTACGGGAACGGGAAGTGACTCGGGCCACGGCGGTTCTTCTCACCCAACCTGAAGCCGAGGAGTAGCACAGCCACGTGTTTCACTGCTGTCAGTTATTCACGCCTTCATGATATTCATTTTAGAAATTCTGATAGACGCGATAACTATAAAGAAATGTAACACAAGTAGGGGGGACTACACTGAAGAAGAAAATACAAGGTTGACGATCACAAATGACAGAACCACGTAAGTAAATTATCCGGAAATCCAGAAGAGTCTTGTGAGAGGGTGAAAATTACACGGAAAATCAACTATATAAGCTCAATGGCCATTTCCTGGTTGCATGAGGGCTTGCAGAGCAATCTGACAAGCATTCTCTGTGGCAAACGCTTTGGTTGCCCCCTCGCCTCTGCCATATTCAGTTTCACGGACTAAGAATAAATTAGGCATGCATCAGGAAGCGGTTGAACAAGAGCTTACAGTATACGATCACGGTCCATTGCAGTGCGTGCCCGGGACCAGTTGATGAGCTATCGATCCGCAAACCTTGCGTACATCTAAATCTACGTTGCAGAAAATTATTTAACTGCATGCGATGATCTGCGGGGAAAAATCAAAAGTTATCACATAGTAAATATGTAGAGACGCACGAGGTATCTGCTGGTCAAGGGCGACATGCTCATCTTGTCCATGTTGTGTGTTATACCCATCCCCTCGACCATGTGCATGCTGTTGACCGCTGCGGCGACTCCTGCCATTGCGGTAATTCTGGTCTTGGGTGTAACGTGCCATGGCGGTCAATGATTCAGACTTAGCTCGAATATAGGGAGGAGTTGATTTATGAATACGCCAGCGGTCTCCTTTATATCGAGGAAACACATACACCAATTACTTACCTCGCAGCTAATAGTACCCCATAGGCAATGACCAACACAGTCGTGACATCGGAGTTGCAGAATCAGACAATGAACGCCATACATTGTATCCTGTAAAGGATTCTGAGGCGGGCGGTACTCATCGTAGCTGTTCTCTGGGTCGTTTATTCTGGAGCTATAGGTCAAGCGGTGCTGTAAGAATGTAACAAAACTGCCACTGGGCGTGCCGGATTTCACCCTGTATTCAAGTTTGTGTTTGACCCGAAGGTATTCTAGACAACGATCAGTGTACTTGGAATCGTCATTCGGTAAAAGGGTTATAACTAGAGTACTGTACCACGATTTTTATGCGCTTTAAGATTGCCTCAAGTTCATAGTGAAGACACACTAGTATGAGACTCCAAACCTACTCGGAGACTTCATGACGTCGGTTAGTCTCTCCGAGTCCTAGTAGAACCTTGAGAAGGAAGACGGTCGTTCTTCATGCAGTATGTACGTGATGTGAATTGCAACAATGTTGGCCTAGATGGAAGTACAAGGCTCCGTCACTAACCTTCGACACGCAGTATGCGTTGTGAGTCGTAACACTGCTGTCCTAGATGGAAGTACACGGCTCCGTCGACTGAGAGATAGTAGACCAATCACTGGGGTTCGACCTGAACTAAGCTCGTTCCTTGGAACTGCCAGTGACCGATGGTTGAGCTAAAAGTTGAAAGCGCGCAAAACAGTTGTCCCACGCTGCTCTCAGCGATTTGTTTTCATCCACTTCCCAAAGCACTTAATATTTTGTATACCTGGCAAGATTCTTTCAAGGCGCATGTAAAAAAAACTCAACGATGAGTTACCCACCAACACCAACCTACACATCGAAAGACGTCCGTTATCGATTAACGGACAGAGCTTGCTATTTTGTTTTGGTGCACCCTTGCGCCATCAAGCTTCCAAGCCTGAAAGCACAACTTCCTTAAAACGAAGCTGAGCGAGGCCGGTTCGTCATGCCGATTCTGAACAATGATAGTAAAGGCGATTAGAGAGAATGTGGAGACTCCGACAGGCTTGACGATCGTTCAAACTAAGAGCGCCAAGCTCTGGACCCAAGTCATGCGGTCTGCAGACATCCCTGCGGACCGCCCAACTTCATGACATATTTCCCTGATAGTACGTATCAAGTTTTCGTCACCAAACCTGTCAGCGAGGACTAAGGATATCGACGTCGCTGCCTGGGCATCTTTGTCATCTGTACGACAATTCTAGTTCTCCCTCGACTAGGTATCAGGACCTTCCATCAAACCCGTACCCGATGACCTTCTGCACTCATTGCAACAAAACCTAAATTTGATAATGTCGGCATTTTCATGACGTCTAACGCGCCTACTATATTCAAGCTTTTGTATACGCCATACATGACTAGCGCGCGGCCGCCTGTACACTGTACGGTAGCCTCACAGCCAGGCTGCTGGCAGATACAACCCAGGAACGGCTCCACTGCCCTTGCGGAGTTCATCCTACAAGCTTACGCAAGACTACGTCATCAACAGTACAAACAGTTACAGGGCCCAATAGCAACAAGTTGTGCACACATGCGATCGCATTCTTCATCAGCGCCCTCCTCGTCTAGAACCCGGAAGTAGACTCAATGTGCACACACAGGTATTCCCGCGACCCTGAGTGGGTCGCCACCTATTCCGCTTACCGGTCGAGCCCTGGGTGGGGGCGAGCCATTTGTCGATAATCCTGGGACATGCTGCCGCCAATCTCCGAAGACGACTGGATCCATAGCTTTTGGCTGACAGAAACCGGAGTCCGGGTAGGGATTAGTAGTGATGGAAAGTGGGTGTTATATTATTCTATATAAGAGTTTGTCAGATTGAATGATGGGACCAGTGATACTGATGCGGAAAGAGAGACTACTGGAACTGTTTTAAGTTCAGTGGGTCCAACGATGTGATGGCTAACCGAACCCTTCTCTGACCTGCCGTGAACTGAAGCATGTGGTCAAGCAACTGAGCAGCGAAAAAGGGAGCTTAGTTTCCTTGAATGTCCGTTCTTTTTGTGAGACAATCGCATGTCACTTGAGGGACTATGGGAGAGACGCGCAAACGGCACATAAGTAAACAGAGCAGGAGAGGGCTACAAATATGTGCTGACTAAGGACCGTGGAGACCCCGAATGCGCAGTCTCTGTCCAGGCACTGTACCCGCGTCAGGGCTTGTCTTGTACCAAATTCGAAGTGAAAATGACTTGATCCGACTTCGACTGACCGCCACAGTCAGGACAGGACCAATGAAATTATGAAACCGTGGGTAGTCGCATAGCCTTGATGTCAATCTATCACCAATAATATTGGTCACGAACGGAACATGGTACGTTTGTTACGTTTAGTTCAAGTCTCTCATACTAAATCATCGAGCCTGGTGCTGAGTGAGTGGGAGGCGTGAAACACACACAACCTTAATATTATCTTTGCAGGAATCATGTTCGAAAGGTCGGTAGTCAGTACTACCCTCGTCGATCACTGGTTGTCGACAGGCACGAAATTCTTGATTTTACGCGGTGATGAGCGGCCAGGACTGCCAGGTGCTATGATACCCATCAAGTATGTGCGAAACTTTCAATCTGCTCAGCATGAACAAAAACAACCATCGCATCTCGACTAGACCCGAGCTTCAATTACACAAGTGCTTACTGAATGAAAGGATCCAAATACGCACCGTGACGAACTAGTATCTCGGAGTGCCTGATCGTGTATACGAGGGAGGGCTCTGACCAAATAATTCTTGGTCCAAACCAGTGCTAAACGTAAGTACTTGGATGCCCAGAAACGGACCTTGCTAACAATTTTGATCTTGGGACCTTGTTCCTTGAGCGGACTCATATGAGAAGGGAGTCTGCCAATATAAACTTCAACGTTCGGTTGACTCGGAAGACCTTGCCTTACGTCCCTTCCTTTGAACGATTTTCTTAGAGACCTTGCTCAATATGGCCCTGGGATGGTTCTCCGTGGCTCGTATCACTCTCTTCTGTAAGTTCTGAATCTGTTTGTTGAAAGCTCATTTTCGAATGTAATCGTACAGCACTGGCTATCGCGTTCTCCCTCATTGGATTAGGCCTTAATGCCTACTTCATCTCGTTGACGGTGCCAGATGATTTCTACTTCACCTTCAGTGTTTTGGGCCTTGCGACCGCGATGTTGACACTTCTTACCATTCCGGTCATGTGCGTATGCCTATGTCTGGTTACCTTGACTGTCTCAGTTGTTCACAGGTTGATCATTGATTTTATACGACGTGGAGCGTTCACCTCCATGGTTGTCTTCGAGCTCTCATGGCTCTGTATGTGTTATATTTGGAATAATGTGTGTTAGTCCTAATTCTTCTCATATATAGTCACCCTTGCGATTCTGTGGGTTGCCACTGCTGGCGAAGCTGTCACCACCTTCAACTTTTACTACCCTCGAGGTTGTATTTATGCGGATGGTGCGTGAATTTCAGATATCATTTTATATCATACTCAGTAACTACCAGGTACTAACGCCGAAACGTATTGCCTGGAGGTGCAGGCAGTGGAGGCTTTCGCATTCCTCAACTTCTTTATATGTAAGTTTTCCCGTGGTTTAGGTCGAGTCCTTTCCTAACGATGTCGTTTTAGTCTTGGGCTACACTGGCGTACTGCTGGTGTTTTCTATCATTGGATCCACTCGCGGCAATGGTGTCTGGACGTATTCTGTCAAAGAGGCCACATTCCTTGGGCAAAAATCGCAGCCCATACAACAGCAGGTTCCTCTGAGTCAGTACTCGGGCGCTCCTCCTACGGGGTATGCTCCTGTTGGGCAGCCTCAGCAGCTAGGGACCTATAGTACTCACAGTGGCACGCCTCCCCAATCACACCAGACGCAACCCCAACAATTCCAGCCAGTGTATTCTGGCCAGCCACAGGGTATTCCTGTTTAACATGCATGATGGCTGCTTGCAGATAATCTGACTTACGTGTCTGTCATCTCTATCTATTGTGCCAATGCAGTAAATTATAATACCCAATAACATGTTGCGTTCTTACTAACATAACTTCGATGGCATCATGGTTAGACCTTGCAACCAGGTTTCTTTTACTAATTGCTTTTTTGTCGTGCGTGAATTGAGAAGATCGGGATGGCCTATAGTAGCCTATTATTCACTCGTGTTATCAGTACTTGCTTGAAGTTGCAGTAATAAGCATGCGGGCGTGTAACTTTACGAAACGTGTCCAGCCGTAACTTGGTCGCGACAAAGTCTACCATTATCTGTGTTGCAGCAGACTTCTCAAACACGAGCTTTTCCGATTACTGTTGCACTTCACTGAATTGCTCTCCCTTCATTCCGCACTCGAGGTTGTCTACTACTGACGATTGATTCAGTCTCATAAATGTCTGAGGATGATGATCGCGCGGCGAAGACCGCAAGGGCAAAGGCCTTGGTTTGCATCCTCGGAAAGTTCAGCTATTTCACAAGCTCACGTATTTCTTTAGCTCAACAAGCAACGACGGAAAAAGGTTGCTGGTAGCGGCGCGTTGGCAAGTCCACCACCGTCAAGGTCGTTTACTCCTACTCTCCAGGAGTCCGCACCCTCCACGGAGGACACTAAGAATGATGTTGCTGACCTGTATGTTTGTGATCTCTGACCCGTTTATCGCGCTCAACCTACTTTCATTATTTCTTAGATTCACACCAGCAGATTCAGACACGAACTGGATAGAATCTCTGTCTAGAGTGAACGTGCCGCACTCGACAGTTTCCAATGCTCTGTCAACAAATGCGCCTACTTCATCATTTCTTCCTGGGAAAGCTGAGTCGTTGCAGTCTCAGGTGACATCCCTGCAGACAACAATTGCTTCTGTTCAAAGTGAGAATAGTAGCTTGCGGAGTTCGCTAAGTCGCCTAGAAGCACTCGAGGCAGGTATGTCAGTCTATGGTTTCATGCCGGTTGAGTCTTATTCGCTGTCACAGGCACCAAAGCTCAGCTAAAGAAGCTCGAAGAAGAAAAGAGCAAACTTAAGCTTCAGCTTCATCAGGAACAGCAGCGTGCTCAAGATACGTCAAGAAGTGCAGAGGTGGTGGTCCAAGAGAAGCGGTCATTGGAAGACAAGCACCGCTCAAGTCAGGCAGAGACTCAACGATTGAAGTCCCAGGCTGATGAGCTTCGCCGGAGTCATGCAAAGGAACTTGATGATCACCGTCGCATAGCGAATTTGCACAAGGAAGAGGTCGAGAAGCTTTCAAACCAGCTCGACGCAGCACGCGTAGAAATTCAAGACTGTCACTCTAAAGAGATGGAGTTCACTAAACGTCGGAACGAGCAGGATGAAAATCATCAGCAGACCATTTCCCTCCTCGTTTCAGAAAAGACATCATTGCTGGATTCAGTTGCTCGTCTGGAGGAGCTTGAGATGGGTATGTTGACTACTTCAATGACGTTCTCGTCTAACTGTGTTTCATGTCTAGAGACACAAGAGAAAGGTGGATTGCTCCAGGCTGAACGCGAAAAATCGCAGTCGCTCGATGAACGCGTCAAAGACCTGGAGAGCAGTTCCTCTAAGCTCGACATGCAGCTACAAGAAGCCCTGATACGAGAACGAGGCCTAGCTGAAAAGTCACGAGATCAAGTGAGAAATCTAGTTTTACCAAGAGAGCCCCGCTCAAATTTATTTCAGGAAAGAGAACTACAGCTTCTCAATGCTTCTTTGGAGGAAGTGAGGTCTGGATCCGAACAGCATCAACAACGTGTTCGTGAACTCGAGGAGCAAATAGAAAGTGATGATCGTGCCGAACGGCTGGAGGAGTCACTCAAGAACACTCAGGATCGCGCCGAAGAGCTCGAGTTTCACCTCTCTAAGCTCAAACAGGCATGTAGTTATTCACCTCTTCGTCCGCTAGTGCTCACCAAACAAGTAGACTCTCGCGAGCGCGAGACACGAGAAGGATGAATTACAATCACAGCTTCAATTGCGGACTGATAGCGAAACGGAGTGGAAGGCTAAGCACGCAAGTCTTGAAGAGCAACACTCATCCCTCCAAGAACGTATCCACTCTGCCAGCCAAGATCGTGATGCGTTGCTTGAAGAGCGCGCGTCACTCCAGTCTCAGGTTAACTTCAACCAAAGCGCGATTAAGCAGCTTCAGCAAAAGCTTGGTGAGGTCGCATCGGAGTTATCGTCGAGCGACCGTGCTCTTCAGAATGCCCATAGCGACCTGAGGGCTGCCAATCGGCGAGCTGAAGAAGCCGAGAGGACGCAGAAAGATCTACAGACAGAGGGCACAAGGTTGATGCAATCTCTGGATGAGATGCGACCCAAGTTTGTGGAGCTTACTTCCACCAAATTGGATTTGATGGAACGAATCGACAAGCTTGAGCATGAAAAAACTTCACGAGATGCTTTCATCTCGAAACTCGAAAATGCGCTTAGCGAGGCGATGGAGCGGGAGGCCGAGGCGGCTCAAACTCGCAAAGAAGCAGACTCGTTGCATGAGAAGGACAAAGTCTCACTGCAACAGTCGATCGTTGAGCTACAGCAGGGCTACGCCGAACTGCAGGCCGAACTAGAGTCATCCCAGGCGGCAGTGTTCAATTTGGAGGGGGACCGTGCGCAGCTGCGAAAAAATGAGACGCGTCAGCTAGAAATCATTGACCGGCTCTCCGTGGAATCCGATCAGCACTCGCAAGTAATGTCCCACTTGGAGTCGGACCTTCGGTCATACAGGAACCTTGACGAGGAACACCGTGCCTTCATTGAACGATCCAACTACGAGCATGAAGCTCTGCAGGCAGAATTGAACGCCAAGGATAATGAGATAGAGCACCTTCGAACCTCTTCATCAGACGAGGCTGCTCCTCGTTCACTGGATGACGAGATGATCAGTGCACTCAGAGTCCAACACGCTATGGATCTCTCCAATGCCAACTCCCAAATTCGCACTTTGGAGACCACCGTCTTCGAAGCTCAGGCAAAGTCGCATAGCCTGCAGAAGCAAATCAACATCTTGGAGGATCAGCTCGCACAACAGCGCTCCACGTCGAGAGCGACTTCAAGACCGTTTTCTCCCGGAGTGCCAGGCAGACCCTCCAGTCGCACCCTTAATCCCATTGATTTACGACGTGGGTCTTTCACTCACAAATCAAGCAATCTCGCCCCACCTTCCCCACGGACTGTCTTTGACGTTGGACTTTCACCTGAAACTCGTCACAAGCGTCAAGTTAGCCTTGGCATGTTAAAAGCGCGCATTGATAGTGAGGTTGCAGCATCAGCTGGTGGTTATCCTTCGTCGCGACAGCTTTCGCCTGTTCCACAAGGTAACGAAGTATCGGGACAGGAGCCCGACTCTCCTTCCTGGCATGCACAGCACATACACCGGCGACCACAGTTTATGGACGAGTCTCACATATTCTGGTGTCATTCGTGTGATGGAGAGCTAGTTATTCTATGAAATACCTGTTATTAGTTGCATCTAACACATCTAGACTACAAAGTTTGACTTTCCGATACCTGTCATTCATAATATTACGTTGAGGTTAACGTTCAAACTTCAAACTGAAGAAGGATCACACATGACAAAGCGACATAACATTTGAGACAAATAAAAGAGTGTAATAGTAGTATAGTACTGATCATCATCATAAAAACCCATCCTGTCTTGTCCGAAGGTGATGGAGCTTATGCAGCAAAGACTAGTATGTCAAGAAAACATTTAGTGGATAATCTCATGAAACATAACTGAACTCACTTCAACTTCCTCGGGCCGAAGCGTCCCTCTCTTCCTTTCCTCTTCTACGCCCTTCTCGATACTTTCTAGAATATCATGAATAAGCTCACGATAATCCACGCCGAAGAAATGCGTCAATTTGGCAGCTCGTCGCCTACGCAACTGGAAGTCAGATGACTCCTGAGGCGATGACATGGGTAACTCGGTGGTTATCGACGACGCCATGGATGTCCGCGCTGGTAACGAAAGTCTACGCTCCGACCTGAACGAATATGAGGAGCCGGAAATCCTATGAGATTCTAGCAAGGGCTGTTCCTCAGTTGGAGATTCCACTAGATCGCCATGGAGGAATCGATGAAGCTCCGCAAGAGACGCCCTGTCATCCTTTAAAATGGTGAGTGCAGTACATGATTCCACATCTGTTCACTCACTCGGTCAATTATGTCTGTCAGCGACACGATAGAATGATGATAGTTCATGTACACAGAAGATTGTGCAAGCGTATCCGCATAGCCAGACGTCTGACCGGGCTCTGGAGAGCTAGCACTCTTGAAGGGTAGTAGGAACGTAGTCGAATCCGAAGTTCCTGGGCGATGCACTTTCTTCCCTTTCATGTACGCGGACTGGTTTGGATTACGCTGAGAGAGACTAGGAGTATGGGCGGACACGTAAGTTGGGGTCATAAGCGACGCTACAGGGGATACCGGTTGAGAGCGGGCCACTGTTGCAGGAACTTGGCGAGTATGGTACAACGTTTGCGGAGGGGGGATCCCGAAAAGCTGATCAAAATGATGAGCCTTACCCGTGACGAGCAACAAGGAATCACAAACTTTTTCCATCTTCTGAGCACGTCTGACATTCACAGCCTTCTCCTCATCATCGAGCTCAGTCTTGATACGTTCAAATGATAGGGCAGATGAACCGCTTCTTCGCCTGTAAAGCCACATGTCGCGGCCGTCCACAGGCATCGACGATGGAGGTAAAGACGGACCAGCTATATGACCAATGACCAAATCCGTAGGGACACGCGAGCCGAGAAAACGGTGGAGTTTAGCCAGTTTGTCACGTTTTCTTCTTCTCTCGGCTTCGGCTTGTTCCATGGGCGTAAACGTCTCCACTACAGATGGTGTCGAGGATGAATGATGGAAGATTCGGCGACTGTTGGCCGTGTCCGGCATTTCTAAACTGATCGCATCCGAAGCATCATTTGAATTATCTTCGTCTGAAAGATCAATGAAAGAAGTTTGAGAACCATATTGATGCTGCGGATCCCAATGGCGGTACGAGCCGTGATGATCGTGAGTGGCCGGTGGCTCCGGTGAATCATCCAGGTAGAAGGTAAAGCTACGTGGAGTGTAGGGAGTGGAATATCTGCGACCGCCCTGTGTTGATGGGTAGTCTACGACTTGCCATGACGATGTTGGTTCCGATTTCAAACCGGGAGCCTTTACGGCAACAGATACAGACATCGCATGACGATGATGCTTCTGCTTCGATGACCCGAGCAAAGCAGAGAATGGGGGCTGTGGTCGCATCTTAGATAAACGTGATTCTTCTACTTCTGACGCAGCCATTTCAACAGCCGGAGTTTGTCCTAACAGTTGCGCCAACTTGCGGTTTCTCCGTATGAGATCGGCTCGCTCGTTGGCGTCAAGTGTGTTGGTCGTCGGTGGTAGAGGTACTTTGAGACGAAGGGGTGGTTGAGGAGAAGTCGAAATAGAACGTTTCTGGAAACGGGGTTTACGATCCCTTCTTTCGAACACAGGTTTCGCAGTAGTTGGAATGGGTGGTTTCAAGGTATCTGTGGTATCAAGGAATGCAGGTCTGGGAGGCACAAACTCGGGCGTTGGAAGCGAGGTCGTAGAAGAACATGGTGAACCAGGGCGATAGGAAATAGGTGACAAATATGGACCAGAAGTAGGACTTGTGGGAGCAAATATCATTGCCGAAACGTCTGAGTATGAGGATGCCGAAGAGCTCCGTCGCGAGTGTTGTGGGAAATCGGAAACTTCATTAGCGGCAAAAGTAGGACTGGCCGGGGCAAAAACCATGCTAGGAAGGTCGTTCAAAGATGAATTACAAGAAGAACTAGAATAGATGCTTGAAGATAATATAGGCGTTGAAGATGGACGGCGAGTGGATATGATAGATGGGTCGTCCTGCGCATGCTGGAGAACTGGCAAAGAAGGCGAGAAAAAATCGATGAATGATTGCTGGTCATTACTTGCTCGTTTCTGCAGCGAAGGCAGAAGTGGCATTTCGATCGGGGATATGGGGCGTAAATGAGGCAATGAAGATGCGTGATGTGTGCTTGATGAATTAGAAGATATGGCTACTGTTGATGGTGAATAACCAGATTGAGAGGAGAGGGAGCGTGGAGATGAGACCAAAGGTGAGTTGGCACTCGTGTCTGTACCAGTGGAAAAGGGGGACCTGGCTCGCACAGGAGAGAACTGCCGCGTTTCAGTTGTCAAGAAGGAGACATTAGAAGTTGAGGCTGTCTCTGCATCCCCAAACGCGGATAGTTGATGCGACATTACTCGGTATCCTGATCCTCGCCCTTGTCGCACTTGGGGTACTACAGCCATAAACCAACGTCAACATCTCACTGTGATATTTAGAAGAAGCTGACCTGAGAGAGATGACTGATAAGCGCTAGACTGTGCCAACTCTGTGCGATGAGGCCGGAAATCAACGTGATTTTCCTGTTTTGGCTTCATACTGCTGGGAATAGCAGCACTTGTGAGAATGCTTAAAGACTCCCGCCCCTTTGTAAACATTCTCTCAACCTTATCCAAAGTAGGTGATGAACGACAGGAAGGGATGGGATGTACCGGTGAGGCAGAAGTGTGGTAGACATCTGGTTCACTCTTGTGTGCAAGCGAAGCTATTGTCTCTGTGGAACTAGCATGACCATTATGTGGTGACAGATGTGATGTGGGACCTGTTGGCGTGTGAGTTGACGTGTTATCTTTCCAGATATGATCAAGAGAAGTACTTGCCTGCTGTTCTAGCACCAAATGTATTAATAGTCGGCACGACGGATGTTGGTCTGATGTAAGGATTGGGCGTAGTAGATCTGGAGGATGCGGGGCTTGAATGACCGACAGGACTATTCATGGCAGGCCTTAGGGAGTCTGGCCAAGAATCAGACCTAACGTTACTCTTCTTCCGCCGAATTTCCTTGACGCGGTGTTCGTGATTAGCCGCCTTCTTTACTGTATTGCGGGGCGGTGGTGGCCCAAGACTGACAGCAAATCCCGACGAGTGCGAGATAGGATGGTAAAGACCAGTTGGAGAGCCGTTACCACGGCGGGTAAGTTCGTCATGTTGGAGAAGGGCCTCGAGGTTGGGGCATATTTGGAGAGAAGTAGTAGTAGTAGCTGAAATGGGTAAGACAACGTCAAAGGATGATGGAGAATCCTTACGGGTCGTGTAGGACATGATTTTGGACATGACAGTAGGAAAGCAACTCTCTGAGCAGTTGGCAGTTTAAAAAAAAGCAACTTGTTCCTCCCGCCGCTTACTATATAACTGAGAGGTAGTGAAGGTGACAGGAATATCAGAATGAAACTTGGAATTGAGTTCACAGCTCAGAGTTGTCTTGCAGAGACTTGATGATGATCACGGAGTACAGAGAAGAGCAAAAAGAAACATGGATGGTCAATGGTCTTCCGTTTCAAATAGTAAGTAATGTCGAAGCTTGGACCAGGGCCATCTTTTGTGCACGGCACGCTCTCCGAGTCTGTTACGGCCACGGACACCCTGACGACCACCTCTTCGGAACCTCCTGTCAAATTAGTTGAACCGGTTGGTGTGTCGAACCGAAAGCATTAACTTTTTACGATACAAACGTTCTCTATCCAGTCCGTACTTACATCAATAAGAGGTAAAAGTAGCCATAAGAAGTTGATAGTAAATACGTAGTCTTTACGAGGTGCTACGAAATGATGACAATACTAGGCCGATGCTTAGGTAATTTAAAATTTCTACTTCGCTGGCTTGCCACGTCGTCAAACAATTTTCATTTTCAAAGTTCAAAACAAATGATTTTCGGCGTTCGGGTACTTGACGTGACACATCAGAGCATGCTTCAAAGAGGTGGCTGGTCATACTATGCTAATTTGGCTTTTAAATACGTGCGTTGATTAAAAAGTACGGAGCGAGAGATAAGAACAATGCAATGCAGATGAGTGACGTACATGAACTAGCAAATTTTCAAACGTTGGCTATCTTGCTGGCCCGGGCGTTTGCAACCTGCGCGGAGGTAATGGAGGCCTGTTATCCGGTCCTTTGACAATTACCGGTTCAGATATGCCAACAGCTGGTGACGTTTCATCTGGCTCTGAGGATGGATTTGATGATTCCTGCACCGGCGAAGCTCCTCCCATCTCTTCTGATGCAGGTGATACAAAGGGAACATCATCGCTAGACGAATCAGGCGTAGTACGTGGTACTGATGATACTGTCCGCGGAGGAAGAGGTGGAGGAAGAGGTCGTGCAGATGGTGAAGCGACATCGCCAGAAAGGCTAAGTGGGGCAACATCCCCATTGTGTTCATCCATGTCTGCGCGTATAGGCGTCGACTGGTTGTCCGAGCCTTGTGATTGACCTGTCAGGATCGGACTTTTCCATAAGCGATACATGCTTTGAATAGCAGGCCCCTTCAGCTTGCTCTCCGGAGGTGTTGATGATAGCGCAATATTTCCCATTGACATGGGTTCCCCACGATGGCTTGCATGTATCCCCGGAATAGTCATTGTCCGCGCCTGTGAAGGTTGGGTATGAATGACAGATGGCCTCCGGTGCTCCTCTGTGACATCCGTAAAATCACGGTCTTGGAGTGGATCATTTTCTGTCGCCGACTTTGACAGAGAAGGTGCAACAAATCTAGATGAGGAGCTCCCTTCCGATGAACCGCCTTGCATCAAATGAGGAGGCGATGCAGGTGCACCAGATAATAATGACACATGACCGCTCGACAGGCTTGTGGACCTCTTTTCTTTCCCATTGGGGATGGGAATAGGGGTGGACCCACCGTCGTCCCTGCGCTCTCTTCGTTCGGCAACAGCAGCACGCACTTCTGCGTAACTGGGGCGCCCATGTGGACTCTCTGTCCGGATGCGAGCATCCGAAGGACCGACGTCTGGCACGTCATCCTGAGAGTTGACACTACTATCTTTCTTAAGACCACCCCAATTGACCCCCCATTTACGCATCGCCTCCTTAGCAGTGTTGCTTAGCGCTTGCTTGTCTGCAGCTTTCGACTTCAGCGTAGAGAACAAGGAGCTCGCTGTAGTCGAACCGGCAGAGGGTCGAGGGCTCTTGGAGGGTGTGCCAGAGTCAGGGGGGCCATTGAAGGATTCGTCACCACCGACCGAGACTGAAGAAGAGACCGAATCCGCTCGAGAAGACCTGGAACGTGCTAGAGAGTGTGCTGATGAGGACCGGCCGTGGTATTGTGGCGACAAGTACTCAGGTCTCTCTTCATCCAACTCCATCTCGCCAGTGGGTTTGTTTGTTTGGGAGTTGGTAGGAAGATCTTGTTTCGGCGTTGTAGAACTTGTAGCGCGACTCCGTCGTCCACGAAGATCAGACTCCTCGACATCATCGCCCACATCTGAGTCATCTCCACCAGGCCGCCGCCTAGAGACTTTTGCATTGCTGTCTGAGGTTCCAGTGGTTGCAGCGCGGATGACTGGCACGCCTTCTAGTGATGATGCATCAACTACCAGATCTTCAGCAGACACCGAACGCTTTATTGACGGTGTCGTGATATCTTCGGAGGTACCTGAAATAGATGGGATGTCTGCCTCGGATGCCGCAGGTTTTACACCGACTGGTGAAGTCGAGACGGGCTCTGACTGCTCGCGCCGCGCCGCGTCTGACCAAAGTCCACCACGATGTAGATATGGCGAGCTGTCAAAGAAACTGATATCATCCATATTGGGCATTACGACGGACTCTTGTATCTTAGTCGTACAATTAGATTGTGATTAATATGATGGATCACCAAAGATACTCACCACCTCAATGATTCTTGACTTGATCGTGTCAAGTATCATGCTCCACGTAATTTGGCGATCGCTCACGATGGGCTCGACATCAATGACCACACGCGGGGTCTGCGTGAACGCGTACCATATCCGACTACTCGGTGGCCGCTTGACCTTGATGAGGAGGTTTCCATCTATCTCCCGCAGAATGACCGCCAGCACCAATTTAACGGTGTACGACTTAAAGCGAGCACCGAGGTTGATTGTGGCAGTAGCCTCGACAGTCGCACGGACCTCCCCTTTGTATGTAAAGCGCACCTCGAGCGATGCGTCGCCCTCTTTTGTGAGCTCCTTCAACATCGGCTTGCTAAGCGTCGGGGCCTTGTTCCCGATTGAAAATTTGGTGACAGAAATGTCTGTGAGGAATGCGGGGCGCTTGACTTTGGAAACCTTCTTCATAAGACGACCGATGATGTACGACTCTAACGTCTGTGTGCGGTAGAAGCTGAAGAATACGCGCCCAAGTAGCGCGTTTAACCAGCGCATGGGGATGACATCAGGTTGCTCATCAAGAGTCACGACAAGCTTGTTCATTTCTGAAGGGAGGAATACGTCCTGGAGTGGGTCGAGAGTGGGAGTGCCAGTCGGGTGCTCAGATGCATGCACGAGCGCAAAGTACCAATCCTCCATCTCAACACAGGAGCGCACGAAGATGAACCAAGGTTTCGATTCGCTCAACGCCTCTTGTCGTGCAGCGTCCCGACTTTTCTCTTCTTCCAGAAGTCGCTCGCGTTCAGCCGTCCGCTTCTTCAAGCTTCCACCTGCCTCTTCCACCTTCTCATCAATATTAATATCTTGAAGTGCTGTCTCATTTGCCACGTTCGGCATCACTTTTTCCTCGGGCACTTGTCTTGGGCGCAGGCATATGGCATTCCGTTTTGTGTAGAGCTCCCCGTCCAGAAGTCCTTCCGGGTAAACAGACACCTCATGTCTACCCAACTCTATAGCAGCTTCGCACTCCGTCCTATTTTCGTCCTCGTACAGGTACAAAACTGTACCCTTAAGGACAACGTACCACATGTCCTTTGGGCGTGAGCGCTTAGGGTCCTTGGAGCGCGCATCAAGGTAGGATCGGACGAGTGTAACGTACGAGCCATCGGATGAGGCGGATTCCTCAAACGTTCTACGCATGGTGAGCCAACCACTGCGCGTCCTGGGCTTGTCGTTGACTTCCAGCGATGAGGCAGGATCTTCGGTTTCTGCTTGTGGCTCAATCGAGTCAGTGTGGGGCTCTGGCTTGGCATCTTTGCCTGAGTTGGTTTGCACGGGGATAGAGGTGTATATGGCGATGCCGACAACGATAAGGATGAGAAGTGGAATGAGTGTCAGTCCGCCTAAGATGTACGCATAGAAGAGCGCTTTGAGCGACATGTCAGAGACCTGAACGCTTGGGGTTGTCACTACTATGATACGTAGTACTACTGGATTAACTTCCGGTTAGCACTGAACCTGATAAAACTGGCTTTAGCAGTCAGTTCTGGTTGAAAGGAAAAGAGGGGAGATAAAGAACAGGTCTGTACGTTTGCGGGGCAACTGGGTGAGGAGGCCAACGTCACATAATTTCCCACGTCAAGTAAACGTGTCTCCCATTTCCGCTCAATGATCTGAATCATGACGATAAGTTAATCTCTACGACGGTAGTGAACAAATATATGAGTTAGATAACATGATAGATACAATGCAATATGGTTATGGAATGAACTGCCCAAGACGGCGAATGCAACAAACGAGGGACAAGGGAAGTCAGTGGTAGATCGGCCCAACAGACTCAAACGTCCGTCCGACAAGGAGGCCGTAGCCTTGAACGTCGCCTAGAAACCATGCTCCTAGAGTACAGCCCTCTTCTACACTGTTCATCATGTGTGGGAAGGATGGCACACCAATGGCCGTTGACGTACATCCATTCATCAGCGCGGTTGTCAAGATTGGATGGAGCTACGAGGGGCGGAAATGCGCTGTTTGATGGGGCGTATGTGGGCACTGTGAGGCGCGCGCCAAATGCCGCATCTTGATACGGCACCCAAGACGAGGTTTCACGCGCCTGAGAGGGACACGGCGAAACAATAATTGTCGGAGCAGAAGGATGCGTAGGTTTGATGACGAGCGGTTCGACCTTTGAAACAAGTTGAACATCAATTTGCACATACTTGGATCAGACTTACTAAAGCAGACGAACGCCTACGCTTTCTTCTCGGTCGTTCTGGTAGTGAAATTTCAGGACGTGTAAATGCGCTTTCCTCTGCCAAGCTCGGCGACAACGACGGCTGCGGCTGCGGAGCTACTTCTAAATGTTCGTTCGTCTAAGAATTCGTTCCAGTTTAACTACGTAGTCCAGTGAGACAGACAGAAGCGCGACGTACCTGTTCTAGTTCTTGACCAAAGGGATCTAGCTCAGACAACAGCCTAGCAACTGTGTCCAAGTCTTCCTCCACAACATGTTTCAAGCCACGATACACAGGCTCAATGGTCTGGCCACACAGCCCGCGCCACGATAAGTCGAGACAAGTGAGCACGTTTACATCGACCAACTAAATGTGAGGCGTCCACTAGTTCAGATGACGACGGTAAATAACCTTGGAATAGAACTCACCATGCCATTGTCACTGCCAGACATTGCATGTTCAACGCGCACATCCAGCCATCTGGCAGATTTGCGTGACAGTCGAGCAAACATCCGTTGAGTCCCACTCAAAGTCCACCAAAAAAGTAGTTACTGCACACGGTACTCCGAGGCCCCTGATACCTGCGGAAGCGAAGTAGATAATGTGTAAATCGACCTTGATATGAGAGTCGACCGGACAGGCCTCAGGTGTCTCTAAGGATGGAGCGGAAGAAGCATGGAAGCCAGGTTCCGGGCATTGGGCCAAGGGAAAGCACATGGAAGAGAACTTGGACGTGTTTTTGACTCCGGATATGAAGAAGCCGGAGCCGGTAGACAAGAATCGAGACTGTTATATGCGCCAAAAATCATTAGTAAATATTTTATGCCCATTTAGATTGTTTTTGTGAAAGAATTCGAAATTTTGTACCGAAATGGTGATCAAGTGACGCGCACTGACACTTGGTCTAAGTATCTACCAAGATGAGTCTATTACAGACTAGTGACAGCACAGTATTGAACGATTGTATATAAGCTCAGCGCTCAACCATAAAGTAACCCAGACAAGTAGTCTTAGAGGAGGAAGTAGAGGCAATATACTATAGTACCGTGTGATACGTGGCGGATACGCATGATTAGTACAAGCTATCGCCTAACGCCGCGACGCGCCCATATGCCAGGGTCAAGTTAAACACGTCGGGACTCCCAGACTGCAAATAGTAGTACCGTTTGTTCATTTGCGCATATGGTGTTGTTGCCGAAGTTGTTGTCACATGCTGTGTTTTAGATTACAAGTGTAAATGTCTCATCTATTCGGTTGCAATTTTCACATCGAACGCCGAATTGCATGATATCCTCACGAGAGTTAGCTCGAATTCCTCGGTGTTCCTTGGTGAATTTCGGAACTGCGATACTCGCACCTCTCACGGTCAAACGGGTTACGAACAGTTCAGGAGCTTGAAGCTTGAGGATTTGTAGCCAAGAGCCCATACATGTCCCCCCATACTGTAGTAATACGGCTATCGTCATTGGTCAACCCGGTAATAAGCTTCATCAGGGTCTAGAATTTCGAATTCGACTCGCTATACCATGCAAAGATAAGTCGACGGACCAAGACTGCTGAACTGGGAACTTGCGCCCATCTTCTTCCGGAACTGCATTTTACCATTTGATAATCCAGAAGAAACAAGGCAAGAGGCCGCTGATGTTCTGTATTTGTATGTCAGGCCTAAGTTTGCGTGCGCGGGAACGGCCGCGTGACTGCGTTGCCTCGCTCGCACCATTTCAAAATTGATACCCCCTCCTGGGGGTGCAAGAGGCTCGCAAAAAGGTACCGGCAGCCTCGATGGTAGAGCCAGGGATAAGTCTCCCTTGAATCGTGTACATGTGATACTTTTAGGCTTTCCACTGGCAGTTTCCTGTGTCACCTGCGGATTGTCAGCATCTGTAAGACTAACGATCTAACCTAAAATGGTCCCTGTGCAAACTTCCTGTCTAGCCCATGAATCACTTTCAGATTATCAGCGTTTGTAAGAACAGAACTTAGAAGATCAATTTAACCTAAAAAAGGCCCCTGTGCAAGCTTCTGGTCTGGCCAACCAAACTAGTTAGTGAGATCCTGCCGTGTCTTCCTGCCGTCTTGATTTATTCGGATATTAAGAACAAGACTTGATGCTGTCTTCAATTGTAAGCTAGATGGCATATCGAGGCATGCGAGCATAGCATATTTACCACATCACTAAACAGTGCTAGGGGCTTCGAAGCTTCACATGAAACCCCAGGCAGTAAGGATCAAATGGGGCTCCTGAAAGGACCCCAGAGAGTGAGGTCTTCGTATCCGATCTCTACACAGGGAATGTTCGTGACTTCCCCGCGTAATTATGAGCTCCACAATGAGGCACCGGGCTGTGTAACAGCTTTAAGGAGTTCAGAGTACCTGTGTTACGTGGCCTTTGCTTCGTACAATTCGAGAAGAACGTAAACGGCTGACCTATTTTATATAGGGGTGTTTTGGCCAAGTCGGATTGGCTCTAGTCAGTAGCCGCTCGACGTAATACAACCATCACAGCTGATATTAATGAGAGACAAAAGGGCATAACTTCAGGACATTATGGTCAGGATGCGAAAGAATGTACTTTGCTAAACCAATATGGAAGGAATGACTCTTCCATGATCAAACGGCAATAAGCCGGATGTAGCACGTGGACGACTCCCGGAAGTCTCCATGCAACCTATGATGATCCAGCTAGTCTGCCTCACCTTGGTTCTTCTTGGTTCTCGCGAGTAACGCCCGGCACTGCCGGAGTGTTGTGATGTGGAGAATCAACCCTGATTGGCCGTACAAGACGGAAAAAATAATGAAGAAAAAAGAACCACTGTTTTGAGCTGGCACTCCGCATCAGAACCAACAGATGCTGTCGGTGAAAACCGACGGACGTTTTCAACGACGATTACGTGTGAACCCGAGAATGATGACAATGAGCCACTCACCGTAAAAGTTCCCGTGGACTGTGGTCATGACTGAAATAAACGATGCTGTAACCATCGTCCCATCGCGACCGATAAGCAAGTTTCACTGCCTACGAGGGAACGGAGCGGCGCCACTATCAGCCCATGCAATAGTCATGATTGATATGAAGCTAGTGACCTTGATACGAGGCCGGTGACGCGGATATGAGCTATGTGTAAAACCAACTTAGGTCTAAGTCAGCTCATAACAAACTTTGGGTAGATATGCCCGAACGGCCTAAAGTGATTTCACTTGCCACATTGAACAGAAAGGCTGCGCGTTCTTATATCATAGCTGGCGCGCAGTGCTGGGACACGAGGCAAGCCTCGAGGCGTCGTGCCATCAGACTATGTTCCAAATAGGAAAGGTGATGATATCTAGGCGCCGTGTTTGCGCGCGGGGCGGTGTGAGGGTCTCCAGGATGTGCGGCAAATATGACGTCGTGAGATATATGGCTAATACAGGCGGGCTGACTGATCACCGATGAGATAAGTTGGGCGGTTTGAATTGATCTGTTTTTGTTTCAGATATCTTAGATGCAGATATATCAAAACCGGCGGTGAGAGATGGGATGATGATCAGGATAAGGATCATATAGATCGATGAGATGGTGAAGCTGATAATCAGTTTACGTGGAGAAGTCCACAGAGGAAAACGAGGACCAATGAAATTGAGTACACATCGACAACAAGGGGAGAAGACGTGTAACTGGTAGTATGGAAGGAGTTATAGAAATACTTCTTAAGAAGTGCTCCTGGAAGGCCACCCGGCAATTTCATTTCACGGAGAAAATAGTGCGTGGCAACTTCCTATATGCACTAGATGGAGGACACATGGTTTTTGACCATTTGGCAAACAGGGAAACAGTCAAAGGGTTAATAGCTGATTGGAGGTAGGGGAAATACCAGAAACATGGGCGGCGATCAAAGATTGATCAGTTGAACAGCACAAGATAAAACATAAGCGGGACGCTGGCGGGTAGTGCCCGTGGGGCAGGCCCGATGACAATGTGACAAGAGAACATGATGTACAATCACTGCCATGGCACTATTATGCGTGATATGGGAGCTAGACTGATGACTGTGTGATATGAAAGTCAGGAACGGGGCTGGTATTGTTGGAGCGTGTTGTCCCCCAGAAGGAGGATGTCTGACCAAGTGGCCTGCCTCGTTGCAAGGCATGGCTTTCGGTGACTGATCACGAGTACAAAGGAAGCTCTTGCATGGAGTAGCATTGTGCAATATTGGACAGCTTGCTGGTAAGAGGGCAGCCTCGAGGCATGATTCCGCACGGATAACTGGGATAGGGATGAAGGTTTATACCTCAAACGCAACCAATTGTAGCTAAAGTACTTACGAGTCAGGGCTAACGAACCAAGGGAAGAGAGCTGGGAAGAGTATTCCGACCTGTCGTAGCCCTGTCGTCGTTGCAGAGAAATTACGGACCCACTACGGCACCTGCCTCAGCACAGCCACCATCGGGTAACTGTGATTGGAAGATACCCCCGTGAACTGCTTTCCATAGTGTTATCCACAGCTGACAACAATGGTGTGCCGACCCACAATAATGTAAAAAAATTTACATTCTACTCCAGGATTAAAAGGTTGGTCTTGATGTCGTACCTCACAGCTGCTAGCGATACTCATTTTAACCGACGTTGTCTAACACAGCCTTTTTATAATACTCGGTAGGCCTTGCCAAATTTTTATCCTGTGCATGGCACTGACAGGACGCGTGTACGATTCTCTTTATCTGTAGACTTGCCTATCAAAGGTCAATTTGAAACCTTAGACTGGGCTCCGAACGGCCATTTTTGTTGTGGCCTAGGTCACTTATTCATATCGCAAACTTGTAGACGCTCATTTCCTGCCTCGAGGCAATCCCCGAAGTCATCTCTCATACGGTCATAATATCAGATCCGAGATCTTCCCGTGGAACAATTCCCTTTTAACCATCGGTGAATCCATTTCCTTTCCCTTTTCCCCCCGTCTATGCTTACTGCTTCTTTCCGTCCGCCCAGCGGTGGCTGGTACTGTCGTCCTCCGCCCCCAATGCAGCGCCGCGGCCGCTCACGCCAAATATCGCCAGTGGCACTAGCCAGGCAGGCATCCGAAGAACGGAGACTACATCATTTATGTGCCGAGAAACAGCGGGAAGCAGAAATTGCTAGACATACAAACTTCTTTGTGCCACAGACACATCTCTTACCCAAGTTAGAGGAGGCGGACCCTTCATCGACGTATCCACAGGAGCAACGTTGTGGTTCAGACGCATCATCAGTGGTTCGCTCTCCTTCACGTTCTACACACTCCAAGGCCGCCTCCATGAAGTCGGCGGACAAATCTCCTTCGTCTACCCGCTCTTTATCCCCGACTGCTTCAGGGTCTCTAGGGTCCGCTGAATCATCAGCACCGTCTTCTATCTCCCTTGACTCATATGACTCGCCTCCCTCACCCCCCCAATCACTTGAGGACCAAGTACAAGTGGCTTATGCGTTGGATGACATCCGTCTTGCCAAGATCCTACTTCTTAAACTTAAAGGGATCGAAGTCACCTCGGACAATGATCCTCGGATAGATGAAGTTCAAGATGAGGATTTCGACATGTGCTTCGTACCATCAGGTCCGCTCAAGCTTGAAGAACCTGAATTGCTTGTTGTCCAAGAAACTCGACGGAGACAGCAACAGAAGTGGGAGGAGGCTCAACGAAGACAACGCTTGCGCATGTGCGAAAGGATTTGGGAGCAGGAGAAACACCGTCTACACACCGAGCGACTTCGCGCTATTCGCCGCCGCGAGGAGGAGATTGCTGTAGAGGAAGAGCGAAAGCGGATAGCAGAGGTTCACAAGCGTCAAGAGGCAGAGCTCGCTCTTCGACAGCGTTCCACGCGGGTGGGGTTCTCGATGGCTCAACGTCACACTGTATCTTATGGTAAATTGTCGCAGGCACAGCTTGAGAGATGCTCTTCGAAGCGTGACGAAGATCCATTTCAGTACAGCTTCATGCGGCCCATGAATTTGAGCACAACCCCACCCAAGCGTGGTCTCACATCCCCGAAACCCCTCCGTAATGACACCACGCCGAAACCTTCAGGTGGCCAGCAGCGCACGGTGTCGTTCAAGGAGGTCATGTCCTCTATGGACGGTAAGCTGTTCCCCCTCGACGCAGCTGAGCGGGCGGAAGAGGCGAGGCGTATTGCAGGAATCAGTACTGTCTCCAGCCCTTCGCGGCACCATCATAACTCTGCGCGATCTGATTTACTGCTGAACCTGCTGCATGTAGTCGAGTGGCAGGAAGGAGAAAGGAGAAAGGCGAAAGGCAAGAACGTGGAACGACCTGCGCAGCTTCTCGAGCAATCTCCGCTCTGCAGCACTCCTGCCCCTATACCTTCGATCCCTTCGACTGACTCGATACCCCCAATGTCATCTTCTATTGCTACGTCTCGATCGAACTCTTGGCTGTCCTTTGGCAGTTGGCGCTCGTCGGTAACAGACATTACGTCTCCCGAAGCATCTTCGCCTGTCACCGACTCGCCCAAGTGCTCCACGTCATCTCTGCAGCTTCCCACTTTCTATGACAGTCAGCGAGATTTGAGCCCGCGCTCCTCCTTCGTCCGTGTTTCGCTCGATGAAACGCCACTATCGCCATTCAAGGCTCAAAGACATACTCGGGAGGTGCAATTGTCTCGACCTACTGTCGAGGTACCTTCATTAGCAGGTCAGTCTCGTGGATTGGAGAGCATGGGGAAATCGCTGGTTCGACATGTCAGTCGTTCTGTTCATGGGATAGTCGATGTGGCGAAAGGACTTCAATCAGCCTACATCTCTACGACCATGTTTTCCGTTGGCGCCGCTCCCTCCCTCTCTTGTACGTTTTCACACTCTCGAGCCAGCTCCTCCAACAGAAGGAATTTCCGACCCTACGGCTACCGTGCTCGCCCAGGTGACGTGAAGAAATTTACCTCTCTCACCACACCATCACCAATAGCCACCTCGCCTGAGCCGATTCACTTTATTCCTCTCGTATCTCCTTTCCCACCGGGTAGTGCATTAGTTGTACATCGCTCGGCGGCTTCTCACTCCCTCATCGTCCCTTCGCCCCTTCGCCCTCGCACTCCCCCCACTGCGCTCGCTTATCGCATGCGCCCCGTCGCGAACCCCGAACTCCTTCGTTTACGTGCACTCCAGAATCTGATGTATTTGCGGGGCAAAGAATGGGAAGGCCGCGGACGAGAAGGCGGGCTCGGCTGCGGTAAAGAGCGTATGCTTGGCGTTGCCTTTGAAGGCCGGGGGCCGAGCGGCCTAGGGTGCGAGATCCGCTTTGTTATCGCGTGATAACTTCCCTCCTCTGGTGGGACTTATGTGTGTGGTGGTATCTGGACTTTATAATCAGTTATGCGTTGTTTAATCCTAATTGCTGGAACGGGACCTTCCATTTTAGTTTTGTAGGAGTGCGAGGAGCGGAGTGGTGGTAGTGATGATCTAGGTGGTCCATCTGTTGTCTGTATCTATAGAATGGTTTTTAGCTGACGATACCCTCGCACCACGAGCACGTACATATGATTTTTTCTTTCTCCCTTGTCCATATTATATACCTGACCGGCGCTCTTCCAATTGCGATATCCCATCCATCTAGACTTACCGCTTCCTTGTCTTGCGATTCCTCCTACGTACTTCGTATCTGCTTCGCCATAGAGAGTTGATCGAATGCAATCTCTTGTTTGTTCGTTTTATGTTTTAAGTAAGTTCTGTCCTTAAACACTAGTGTATCCATGAGGTGAAACACAATGTCGGTCTCGGGTCTTTGACTCCCCGGCAGGGTCATGAATTTCATACCGGGGAAGATGATGTACATTTACCGACGACAGTGCATACGCAGGTTCAGATGGTTGCATCCAGCTGTCTGGCCGCCGTCCGTGAGGCGTTCTCGAAGGATGCAGTCATGTGAATCCAGCTGAGTAGGTCCAATGTTGAGTTACTTCTGAGCCTTATCGATTGTTGTGCATTCAATCAGTATCCGGTCCTTTTGGCCCTGCTTTCCATATACGGTCGTGCACAACAGCCATAGTAATTTTGTATCGGCAGTAATGGTCAATGTGACACGGTTGTTGTTCCCGCAGGCACAGTCCACTGTGAAATAGGAAGAAGGTTAGTGGCCAGGCAGGGAAAATGTTTCTTTTACCTGTCCAGTTGGTGACAGGTGAAAAGATGTCTTTAAAAACCTTGATCATGGCATGCCACTAGAGGACACTTCTACCATTCGAGACATTGTTGCTGTGAGCCACTTTTCCTGCCGGTAACCACCCTCCAAGAGCCTCCAAAGTTCAATCCGACGGACGGATGATCGTAATGAAATCCACCTGTTCCCGGTGACAGAATGGTTGTCCGACATTTGCAAATTGCGCGTTTCGAAACTGACGTGTAGTTTACAATTCCAGGTAACGCATTGTAGTTCATATGTCATCGAAAGACGTTGCAATAAGAGGAGTACTGTCAAAACAAGAAGGGTATCAAAAGAGTCTAGGGATACAACACTGCAATGAAACGAACTACCGCCAGTCAATGGGTGTAATCCGCTATATTTGGCGAGGTCCAACGGTCAAGTTTAGACGATGTCGATTGCGCCCAACCTACGCTTGAGCCCACGCTTACCGGTGGCGCAGGCCCAGGATTTGGCGAAAATAAATTTGCGGGTCGTCGCATCGCCTTGGCGTATGGCAGCTGATTGGAGTATATGGGATCTTGCATACGCAAACCACTACCAAGTTGAGGAGGATGCTGCGGCTGGATCCGCTGCTGTGTTTGTGGTCGTTGAGGTTGCGGTGGCGGGGGTAGAGGTTGTTGTTGGGGCTGTTGTTGAGGCTGCGACTCCCATCCACTCCAAGGGTTGCTTTCCCGCTCTTGTGGCATATCAATATCAAACGCCCACGGGCTCATACGCGATCCAGAAGAAGACGACCCACTCCGCATCCGAGATGCAGCGGAAAGTGATGTTGAGACTCGACCACTCTCCTCTCGCTCGAGATCAAGTGTGATGCCCTTTTCACTCAAGGAGGCGGAGTCAATGCCTAGCATCTTGCGCAGTTCCTCATTCTCCTTTTCTAGTCGAGAAATTTCAATTTCACGCTCCAACGCCCAATCATCTCGGATCTCGGATTCTGCTTGTTGATCTATTGTTTGGAGGAGAGCAGTGATGTCGATCGGGGAGTCTTGGGTGCCATCATCGTTTAGTTCGGGTTCTTCGCCAGACATGGAGCGATGTAATGCACGGAGGGTGTGAGCAAGGCGCTGAAGACCGACTGCGGTCTTGGTTTCGGAAGTTAGATCGGTATACTGATTCTGGGAGTCACAGGCCAAGAGTAAGCCTTCATAGTGGCGCGTCAGGGTAAGCTCGTGCTGCTGAGCTGCTAACTAGATTCGAGGAACGTTATTATCGGAGAGCTGACAATGGGCTGTCAAACGCACCGCATGATTCCGAAATTTGGACATAATGGTTTCCATAGTGCTTTCATATTCTTTGAGAAGGATACTAAATTGCTTGTTCTCGTGAAGTAGGGTTTGGTTCTCTATTATGAAGTGGGCGTTCAGGCGCTCCAATTCGGAGTCGAAAATTTCTGCGAACAAGGTTTAGCCCTGCTGCGGATGGAGGACGTAAATGCAAACTGACCTTTGGAAATGTCGGTATTAAACCGCCTCAAAGCAAAACCTGAGCTGGCATGTACGGCCTGGTCCTAGTGAAAAAATGTGAAAGGAACGGATATTAGTAGTGACAGAACTGACTTTTATTGAAGCAGCTTGTGAATGTATTGTATTTGATAACTTCTTGTTATGAGCAAGCTGGTCACTGAGCTCGTGGATGAGGAGCCATGCGCGCAGAATATCGTTATCCATGATCATGTTCAAGAGCAGCTTTGTGCTCTTCCCAAATAGGAAGGATTAACAAGAACACAAAGTGCACTGTTTGAACTTTTGATCAGCCTAACGTTTAGCACAGTTCAAGGTGGTCCTAGGTTGCTGCGGAATAAGGAATGAATTGAAGAGACTAGTGTTTCACTGACCTGGTAGAAATCTTGTGAGCTTGGGGTCTAGGTGAGAGAGCGTGGGAAGGAATGTTAGAGGGTCGGCGAACTCGTTCACGAGCTTTTCTCTCCTATGATAGTTCCTCCTCATCAGCCGAATTCTGTATAACATTTAAACTGAAACGCTCGCTTTCTTCGATAATCAATTGGGAAATAACTAGCGATTATATCACTGTTTATCTCCAGCACACGTTTACTTCGGCAATTTCGACCTTACATTTATTCTCGCTAATCATCCCGTCTACTCTCTTATTCGGCTTTCTCGTCGCATTCGGTCCTCGCCAATTTTTTTTTCAGCACAACTTTAGTCTTCAGCTCATTCATATCAAGTTTCAAACATGGCATCTGCCTCTACATCTGGTCTATCAGCGTCAGTCACGCGCATTTTGTCTTTGACAGGCTTTGCAAAGGAGCTCAAGACCAAAGACATTCAATCTGCATTCTCGGAGTGGGAGAACATTGGCGGAGGATTTAAGATCAAATGGAGAGACGATACGAGCCTCTTGATTGTTTTTCAAGATGCCTCAGTTGGTATGCCATCTGATTTCTGGTAAAACTGTGTCTTACGAATTTATCTCCACGTGGTTAAACAGCAAAACGAGCATATCTCCACACGCTCGCGTTTCCTCCTGCCATCCTTACTACCGGAAGTTCCGCTACCATCAAACCCTATGATGGACCTGACGCCCAAACTGTCATTCAGACAGTAAACACTAGAGGCCACACAGGCAACGCTTCTCGCGGCCACAATTTACGCGCTGCCTCTATTTCTGTTTTCCCCAGCCGCAGCGCCAACACTAGTCAGAACGGCAACGGATTACGCAACGGAAACGGCCAAAATAACCACGTGCTGAATGCTACTATTTCGGAGCATTCACCAAGGCTCATCAACGGGCGTGAGCCTTCTCCGACCCTTCCGACGCTCCCTTCTCACCCGTCTCTGAATGACCTCATAAATTCAGCCGTGTCACACGATGATCCCGCTATTCTTCACGCGGAGGGTCCACCAAAGATTGGAGATCCAGGGAAGAGAATGTTGGGCGCTGCATTGGGTGTGAGACACCCTGCACTGGGACCGCGGGTCATTAATGGAAGTCATGTCACGGGAGGTGCAAGTCCAGGTACTAGCCCCAGGGGCAATGGACTTGATTCTACCATGAGGGACATACAGAGGGCAATGGGAGGGCTGACTGTCGCCGAGTGAATAATACAGCATGTCCGAAGATGCGTCTTTGGATTTGCATCGTGGCGTTTCAATTGAGTGCGTGTAATTGATGTTTTTGTGGCTGATACGCATCCCTTGATGCATAATTGGAGGTTTTCATATTTTTTTCTGTTTCTTTGTGCTATTAGTTCCTGCATTCCTCGTGTCACCATACGTAGTCCCTCGTTTTCGAATGTTTTTGTGCAGCCAAAACCAATTACTACACATTCTAGCGCCGCATCTAGGCCTTACTGTGTGATATGCGCCAGCGTGTTCCCTGAACCTAACATTGGATTATGAGGATATTAGTTATTCATTAGTCATAAAAATAGTTGGTCTGTGCCCGCAGTTCCATTGGTTCCTGAAAGTTAGAACACCCGTCGTTAACCCCCTCACACACCATGGACCCTACTGCCGACCTCGTTGCCCGTGCATGGTAGAATTTAGTCATGGCAGGATTTTGATTTTGGCAGTGCCACTACCTGTGACACGGCATGATCGCTGCCAACGATGGCAGCCAATCCCGGAGTTAGCACAGCTCTAGCCAGCTATGCTAACTTGTTTTAGATCCTGATTGAGGCTCCTGCTGTATGATCGCGCGCAGTTCAGCGATAACGCACCATCTGTTACGACATCACGGAGAAGCTAATACATGGCATCTTGGCCCATCTTAGCAGCATCATGAGGTTTCATCAGATCAAGATGAAACGGAAGATTGAATTTCATGGGAACAGGTAAGGTTCCTTATTCGGCCAGTGCACTCGTTGATGGACAACCTTGATTGATATTCGCAAGCGCATCTCAAGCGCATCTTGTTACGAACCCCTACACGGGCCTGACAAATGCCCAGAGGCCACCCGTTCCGGGAATACCACAGATCACGCGAGGGAAACAAAGGGAGTAATGCCAAATATGTGGTACAATGCCTTGTAGCTATTGACGGCTGCCACTCAGCCAAGGGAACTTCATGGCGCTGTCAATAACTTGAACACGAGGTTCAGGTGCGTCTTTCCCTCACAATCAGAGCAACTCTCCAGTATTCTTTATCCGGTTCTCAAGCCAACTCCTTGTAGACACGGTTAACTGGTCAGTGACCTTGCTGCCGTAGCTAATACATGCGGTCTTCTTTCTGACCGGTGATTTTCCTGATATATCACATGGTTGATGACTTTGACGACTAAGGTCGTTAATTCACTTCCGCGTCCATTCTTGCGCCATCATTTAGTACAGATTTCAACGTGTTCGTGAGCCACTTTACCCCCGATTGCGTTGTTTGCTATCGGTACATTACGGGACTGATCAATGGAAGTAACGCAGTCACAAGAGTTAATCATTCGAGACCCTATACAATCCACCACCGTAAGTAACTGCCAACAGCAGCCGACTTAGCGATGCGGGCCTGGTTTTAAATCGCCTGTCTTCCAATTTGATACGTTACTGACATCCCAGCCTTTCTATTTGTGTTCTTTAACATCCAGATTTCGACCCTTCTTTACGGCTGATCTTGGGGTATATGATCTCCGAATCGATTTCCGCGCGCAGCTTTCGTTGCTGTTCCATCATACACTGAATGTGACTTCCCTCATCATCTAGACATGCAGCCATACATATATTGCCATCCTCAGTTCCAGTCCCCCCATGCACACATCATGAGTCCCTATATCCTCTCCCACTCCCCTGATAGCGCCTACTCTTCCGACAGCTTATACTCCCCTCCCGAACGTTACCAGCCGAAGTATGAGTCCTCTGCGACCGTACCAAGGTTCAACTCATGGTCAGCTTATAGTCATATTTCGGGCCTGTTACGTGTTCCCCACCATGTTCCGTCCATCAATCCTAAAGTCACGATTTTAACGACACAACCATCCCTGTCCTCTGACATTAACACCCCTTCGTCTGCGTCGACGCAGTCATTACACACGCCGTCCTCCCCATTCGTCCACTATCCCGACACTCGGGAAGACATGGATTTTGATGAATCTGACTCCGAAGATGAGGACGCCGATTTTGACATTGAGGGGATGGACGGGATCGAAGAAGAAACCATGCCGTTTTACGGTGTAACCATGCCTCAAGTTATGAAATCCACCTCTGCGCTCGAAGGCGCGCTGGGGGAAGGTTCACGGTCATCTGGCCCTTGGTGGCCGCAGCCATCATCGTCATATATGCTTTCAGACCGACGAATGTCCGTGTCTGCGCCTGGATATCCTACTTCGTCTCATCGACAAATACCCTCCCATGCACAGCGACGACAGGACAGTGATACGTATTCCCCAAGACCTCATAATGATTCGTCACCAACATCACCTTCATACCCTCATCACAGCTCTTCATATACCCAGGACAGTTCGAATTCAATGACTACATTATTCGCACCCACTTCTGCATTGTACCAAAATTCGTCATCATCACTAGCCGATGCAATTCCACTCGGCCTAACACCTGGAGCAACACGAAATTCATCCACCCGTCTGCCCATTTTGCAACCGCAACCAATCCGCCCAATCCCCCCCATTCCTTTGGACGAATTAGCAACGTCCGCTGCCGAGGTTGATGACTCTGTCTTTCCGGATGAAGGCATTCGTAGACCTCGGGAGCGGAGTCTTTCGCCTCTTCCACTTCTTTGCCAACCAGTCTCCGATGCCGTGAGGTATCAGTTGAGCACAAACCCTAGGAACGCTCAGGGTGACGGGGAGCCATATGATCACCAGATTACGGCCGAGCCGTCACCTAGAGCTTCTATTCAACCTCATCATTTTAGCCCGGCTTATCCCCGAAACTGCTCAGGAGCTACGCATACTCCGATGTGTACTTGTAGGCGCGATAGGAAAATGAGTAGGCGGTGATTTTTTTATCCATATCAATTGTTCATGCTGTGATGTTATTGATGAAAAGGTTTTACTTGGGTATTTGATCAGGCCTAGTAACTAGATAACTATATAATTGGACCGGGCATAGTTTATTGCATGTCTTCATTCCATTCGGGGCTCGTTAATAGTTACTTAACCTAGTGATATTATGGACACGTACAAACAAAACGTGAAGTAGACTAAGTAACAGGACTAAACGAAAAGAGGGCTGAAAAAAAAAACAAGGCAACTGCGTTCTGAATCAGGGTAACCTTTTAATTATTATTATTGTCAAATGGTACCGTAAAGAGAATGTCATTATGGAACATGAAACTGTCTTTAGGATCTGGGAATCCCAAGACAAGTCGTGCGATGGTTATGAGGTGACGCTGGGAATTCAGGGGTTCGCGAAGCAGATTGACGGTTTTGCGCAGCCTAAGTCAAAAGTGGAACTGCTGTTAAATAAACATGAAACATTTGCTATATCGATCAATGAGTTAGTGTGCACTGGATCAGGATATAAGTCGAACTTACCGGTGCTAAGGTCATCATCTCACACCATCAAATAGCTATTGTTTGTTACATTCCTCCGCCAGCAGAGGTCGTCCGCATTCTAGCGCTGCGGGACGTAAAGGACCTCGTCCTGATCCTATCACATTCACGTATGTACGACTTCTGTGGAGTACAGGGAGCGAAGCGGGTTTGTGGAGCCACACTCTTCCGGCGACTTTTCTTGGTTTCATTGACGTTCGAAGCCGGTTGTGGTAATGGGGCGGGGCGCTTAGGGTTGGCATCGACATGGTAGAGTTCAGCCGAAGGCAGCAGTGGCGGAGATCCTGGGAAATCCGGATGTCCGTGGATAGATCCTCCACGGATCTTCGACTGTAATGAGACCGAATGGTTGGGAAGTTCAGGGGCGCCCGAGTTAGATGCTGCATCCAGAAGGAGATCCTCAGCCTCACCCCTTTCCTCGTTCGGAAGGAAATAGAAATCTAAAGGTACGTAGGATTGGCGCCGACTGCGGATAACAGGTGATTCCTTGATTGAATTATCGACGCTGGTCCTATTCAGGTCAAGTATTGGGAACAACGTGTCCAGGGGATGCGTCCCGTTATCTGTGTCAAAGTTGGTATAGGAAAAAACTTGTGCTTTCTGCCTGATCGTACTCGTGTCAGATTTGACCGGCTTGGAATTTCTAACCGAAGCTTTATCCATTATGCAGAACTCTCCCGGGTTAACCCAGCGTCTATACTCGCTGCCATTGCAAGGAACCGATTGGCGATTGTCGGAAGAAGCTGGTCTTCGGTCATTATAATGAGAGTTTCGGTAAGGCACTGCAAGAAGCCCCTCGTAGTACAGTTGCGACCGTTCCTGCATGTAATTTCTGTATGTACCGGCGCATTCCTGGATATTACGAGGGGTGCCAAACGATCCAGAAAGAAGTTGATAAAGTGCCATCCGCTCAGTAACTGAGAGTGTACAAGCGTTCGGTGACAAAGGGTCGGCAGAAGTCTTGCGTGGCGATAAACCTAGTTCAGCCCCATCGGTTCTTAGATCTGGCACCGCTTGCGAAAGGGTGTGGAGTGGGGTTGTCTCGAACATTAATACCGGTGGGCCACAATACGTGTAAGAGACCTCGTCTATCGCTTGCGCAAATGAATCAGACTCGTCAATGGTGCTAACCGCCATGTCAAATTCATGGTTGTTGCCCGTGTCGCTCGCAGGAAGGATGTCAGATTGGAGGATTGGACTAAATGCGCGAGCCATCCGAGATGACGGACAAATGACTGCAGGTGGCAGGGGGTCGTCGTGAGTGGATCGAACGGCGTATTTCCTTGGACGGCCAGGTCTGGCCTTTGTAACTCCACGAGGTTTGTTAACTGAGGGCTTGGCCTCCTTGAGTTTCGATACCAAGTTTACAGTTGCTCTCTGCGACTCCTTCATAGGCGCTTGGCGCAAAGTGCGGAGGTTCGGCTTCGGCTGAGAAAAGAGATCACATCAGTTATTTTTTTGATGATCTATTCAAATGTTCGAACCGATTGCGCCGGCACTAGAACAAAATCATTTGGTACGGTTGTGTTACCATTCTTATCTTCCTTGATCACGCGCAAGCCTCGGCTGTGAAAATAATCATAGACATGCCTCCTGTCGATATTGTAACGTTCTTGCAGCTCTTTCCGGACAGCAAAGGACGGCATCTCGATATTTCCAGGGTGTATCAGCGCCTCAAGATCACGGACAAGATCCGGCCCTAGTCGGAGAGCGAGGCTCTCAGGATTGACACGCCTTCTCTGGAATACAGTGCTAGCATTTTGAACAGCGGAAGGGTTCTCCGTTCCCAACGGTTGATCAAATGACGGGGAGCCAGAACCATTGGGGCGCTGCCAGGTGGAGTGTGAAGAGGTATTTTGACGGGTAAAACGAGAATTGGTGGCTGCATCGGTGTCACATGGAGAGGCTGTTTCCATTTTGCTTGGAGAATAATTGTACAAGAAATGAGAAGGTTTCACGTTAACTTCAGGCAAAATCAACATCGCTGCGTTGGGATAGAAATCTTAAGTAGTCTTAGTATTCCGCGGAGTGTAAAAACTACATATACTGTTATTGTACAGCCACCACATGTTCTCGGGTTAAAAGTACAAACTAGCTGCGAAGACGACTGTAATATATGTGGATTAGAGACAAACAAATCTCCAGAGTGGTCTTGACTTACTGTCCCTCTTGATTTTTACTTGAGCCTCTTCCAGTTTCTTGAACAGGTCCATATCTCCGATCACCCGTGCAGCATCCCTGACTTCCCTACAGGTCTCATCTAATCGCGTTATAACCCTCACTATCGTACCTTCTTGAACGTCAGTCAAAGCCGTTATCTGGTCAAAGGGCTTTACAAATGGTCGACTATGAGTTTTTGCCCCTTAGCAGTTACGCACGTTCGCTGACTCACCATGCCCTTCGCCCATTCGTATACTACTTCCATGAGACCGAATTTTAAGCTAGTCTTGAATTCCTCCGCTGAAACCTTGTGGCGGTCTTGCACACATTCCACGCCCCGACTGATCGTAAGAATTGCATCTCTGCCTTCCTCGAGTTTGATCGGCACAGCAGGTTCTACCTCTGTCTTTTCTTGAAAGACGAAGCAAGACAGAAGAGCAACCACTTCTTCCGGCTCATAGTTTGCTAGAGTATTCTCGAGTATAAGTTCAGTGAGGACAAGCTCATTTGCAGAGTTGATCTGAACTTCAGTGAGCCGACAATATGAGTCAGTGTGGCAGGGCTGTATCTGACCTCGCAGGCCACACGACCCTTCAGCTGGACAGTTGAATTTTCGTCGATGAACTTCAACTCCTTTAGAACCTCGATTCGTTGTTCATAGTCCGGGATAAGGTCGAGGTTCTGGTCAGAAATTGCCATCTTGAGTTTTTCGATATTGGTGCGCAGCGTCTTCTGATCATGGAGAATGACATACTACTCGGCCCGGTCAGTCGAATGAAAACGTGAAAGTGACTTGAACTGACATGATCATGAAACTCGTCGCACAGTGTACACGAGAAACCTTGGCGACGTTTGGCGAGGTCATTTCTGCTGTGCAATGCCTCCTGGAAATCCAGCGTTCGTATGCGGTCCCAATTAACCTCCGGTATGGTTCTAGCAGTCCTCCATTTGTGGACAAGAATTTGTAGCGAGTTGATGATCTCAAGCATCAAAGATTTCTTATGCTGATCGACGATTCCAGTTGCGTCCACCTGTTTCGGCTTAGCATCAGAGTTCCGAGCAAAAATGTTGCATACCTTCATAGTTTCTGAAGTTACCATAGAAATGCTGTCGAGAGGGACACTTCTTAGGTCGTATGTGAGATTCTCGACTTCTAATGAAGTGGGATCCAGTGGCCATCTCGGTGGTAGAGCTCGATCTTCGACATCTAAAAATTTAATGAACGGGTTTCATGTGCTAGCGTATGCCATTAAATAGATACCTGTATCACCTAATTTCGTTTCCTGGTCTACCATGGCCAGCACAAAAAATAGTTTGCCCGCGAATGAACTCGCTTGCCGTGGATCTGGTTTAAGCAAAACGCCGACGTTGCCTTGCCTAAAATGCTGGTTGTAGACGGGAGCTTGATCAGTAGTCATTAGGGTTGTGATTGGTAGATAACATACGCCGTCTCTTAAGATGACAACCCTCCCTGGACCAAGCAGGTTGGCATTTGAAGGACTGGATGCCACCATAGTGCAAAGTTTATTATTTAACCCAACGACGTCAAGAGAAAGATCGTAATAGCGCTCGATGTCAACCGAGCATATATCACATTCGAGTTTAGGCATCTTGGAAAGTGTCCTCTCATGCTAATGATTATCGTGGGTCAACGGGTATGAAAAACGGAAGATACAAACATACCTCTGCAACTTGCTTTTGGTGTTCGGGAAGCAGTCTCTGTGAAGAATTTTCAGAAAAACTCCGTTTGATCATCTCCTCCACACGCAGTGCCTCCACACGAAGCAAGTTTAGTATCATATTATAGGTGAGCCTGAACTGCGACTGCAATTTTCCGGGTGTGCCGAGCATCATCTTCAAGAGAGATGTTTGCTGTAAAGCAAAGGTATTGGTAAAGTATGCCTAAATAATCGACAGTGAACTTACCTCAGGAAGATTGTCACCTGCAACAATGATCACCGTTCCAGTAGGGTCCAGACCTCGCCGTCCAGCACGACCTGCCATTTGGGTATATTCGCCAGGTAGTATGTCCCTGAAGCTGCGCCCATCATGCTTCCGTATGTTAGAGAACACAACACATCTTGCGGGCATATTAACGCCCTGCGTGTGCCATCAGGATTCCCTTGCCGATAACACATGATGAGAAGCGCACCATAGCAAATGTTTCTGTGGCAAACAAAACCTTGACAAGCCCACGTGCAAACAATATCTCTACGACCTGTCAGCGGCGCGTGAGTCGTGATTACAGCCATGTGTGGACTCTCCAGACCTCCTTGACGATGGGCAACAAACCACCATGATGAACGCCGATTCCTCGTGATAGTAGATCTCTCATCCTAGCGATCTGCGGAAGCTTCTTGTCCGAACCTAGAATGTGAATTAGCGCAGTCAATGAAGTCATCTATGCGCCACACCTACCCTTTAGTCGTGCCAGGGCCTTTTCAACAGCGACATGTACTTCACTCTTCTCCACAGATGTGCACAGATCTGAATTGGTAAGAGTTGCAGCGTTTTCTTCGCAACGCTTCTTTGACAAAGTAAACACGACGACAGGAAGAAGCCCCTTTTTCTGAAGATGATTTAGTAGGTGCACGTAGAGATTCTTGTCTGCCCCAGTGTGAATGGTCCTAGACTGTCCGCCGCCACGCCCACGGGGTGCGGACCCACTTGGGGCTGCGCCGCGTTGACCACCGCGTGCTGGTGCTGCGCCACGCTGCACACCTCTTGCAGCGCCTCGAGCACCGACACGCTGTACAGGAGGTAGACCTGCAGCTTCTCGTTCCTTGTCCTGTTTTCTTCTGAGAGCATCGCCAGCATCCTGGTACCTAGAGTCGTAGCGTCAGGGTGTGCAATATCCAATCGGTTGTCATAGTACCCCCGTGCAACCCAATTCCTAGATGCATCGACGATCTTGAATGTGTCCCTGCCGGCGTAAAGATAATGTTCAAGGGGCACAGGTCTTTGCGCCGTGGAAATTACATAGATGTCCTTCTTCTTGGTTCGCCTTTGTAAATTCACAGGTAAAAGTCAAAGCCTAGACGTGCAAGCGTCACATTTTGCTCACCCTACCCAGTCCGCAAACTCTTTGCTGTTAGGAACAGTTGCTGATAGCAGGATGATATTGACATGATCGGGTAACATGATGATCACTTCCTCCCAGACAACACCTCTCTGCCAAACTCTAAGCAAAGTAAGTCCGGGTATAATGCAGGCACCGTACCTCTGCATCATTCACGTAATGCACCTCGTCAAAGATCACAAATTCGACATCGCGAATCAGATCGGCACCCTTGTACAGCATGCTTCGCAGGATTTCAGTCGTCATCACCAGACAGCTCGCCTCAGGATTGATCTGCACATCCCCTGTAAGTATGCCGACAGATGATGACGAGAAAGTTTGTTTGAAGTCTCGAAATTTCTGGTTTGACAGCGCTTTGATTGGCGACGTGTATATGGCGCTAGAAAATAACTTGAAGTGCTGACATGCTATAAAAAGAACACGACAAACCGTGTCATATGTTTCTCAGCAAGAGCGATGGCGTATTCGGCAACGACAGTTTTCCCAGCGGAAGTATGCGCAGCGACAAAGACTGAATCTCCCATTTCGAGGTGATACACTGCTTCTTTCTGGAAAGTATCCAATTCGAAAGGATACTGTGCTAGAGCATGAGATTTTGAGTCATGAAAAGAACGATGACTGACTTTGTGAGCCATATCCGGCACAAGTTCATGGAAGTTGGTCATAGGCTTATTGATATCAACCACATGTGCCCAGTCGCGTTTGACTACATTGGGTTTCCTAGTCCGTCGGGGAGCCGTTGATGGTCGTAGATGTGTCCGCTGGAAGTGTATTATTTGAGCATCAATTGATCCCGCACGACAAGGTCCTCACCGTTGTTGGTAAGAGCTCGTCAATTTCTCCCAAACTATCACCATTGGGTAAGAGATCTCTTTCGTCATCCAGCACGTAACTTTCATCATTGTGCTGAGTGATATGTGCTGAGCAACTATACGATACATGCGACAATGACAAATATACCTTGTCCTCGTTGTAATCAGTAGTATCATCGAGAGAGGTAAGCGCATCGTCTTCCGGATCGTCACCCGAAAGTCGCAATCCTCTCGAAAACCCCGGTGGGACAGTTCGCAACCCTTTGATGGGCACTGCTGTGGTCTGTTTTGCTGCCAGAATCACGTCGTCAAGTCCACCAGGTTTGAAAGGAAAATGACTGGATTTTCCCCTGACAAAGTTGGCGACTGAAGCAGGAGCACGGTCCATAGATGTCGATGTGAGCGCTGTCGAAACCACTGCATTTGGCGTCTTGGACGAGTTTACAGTACGAAATGTGGGAGAATAACCAAGGGCTCACTTCTGCATAACCAATGACACGTCCTTCGAGACCCGCACGCAGGAAAGTCAGACTGGTCGGCGGTGGAGAGGGTTCGGAGGTCAAGAGTGACTGTATAGAAATCTCGGGTTGCCATGTTCTGAGGTGAAAGAAATCAAATTTGCTGGTTTTAAAGCATATACAGAGCATGCACGTACATTTGATATGTTGGAAGCCAGTGTTCGGGTATCCTGTCTGGTGGAAGGAGTAACTTGGCTTCAATTTCTTGGTGGACCTTGTCCCGAGTAGGGAAACCAGCAACTCCGAGACCTTCCAATATCTGATCTGCATCCTCTTGCCGAGGGTTCAATATTTGATCCATGACATGTTCGTGATTATCTGGCATAGTCTTAGCCATCCGTTCTGTAGCTGTGCTACATAGTTTTAAATGATCAAACTCGATTAAGACATTGAAGGATCTGTGGCTGTGTTGGAAATTATGCATTCTTCACACTGATACAATACTGAGTACCAGTAGATCCTGGCCAGGTCACAGATTCCTCCCATAATAATTATATCGTTCCCTGCGGAGAAGGTCAAATGTTTGATTGACTATTACTATCCTTATGTTTTGGTGCCGTCTAACGATCATACTGAGGGATAATATTGCAGCTCAAACGTGGAATCTGGGGCAAAAGCCTCAGCGGTTCAACGTCAACAGAGTCGAGCTACTCGACTGAGAGGAATTTAAGCCTACCAGGTAGTAACGCCAGGCAAACACACTGGCGACAACAAATGCTATACTTGAAACAATGTAGGCTGCATGTTCTATGTAACGCTCATTCAGCAACGGTGAATAAGGCATTCAACGATCAGGCGCACCATCTTACACAATCGAGCCAGCAAACCGCTCAACTGGATAATAGTGCCCACACCTTCAAGTATGCGCATATGCGTGAAGCCAATTTCCTGATGGTATGATCCGTTAAAACGCTCGTGATATGCAGGGACACTTCCTCTAACCTTGATAAATTCAAGCTTCAAATACTCGGGTAGTCTGACAAGAGAGATATTCTCAGTGCTGGCGATAACCCAGTAAGCTAGGACTGACTCATCGAATGTCTTTGTCACTCTGAAGATTGTGACCACGATGTCAACAGCGCTGTAGCCTTGCTCCCAGAGCTCATTTAGTTTCTCCATCGCAGCATCAATATCACCCTTCAAGCATAATCGGATCATGCTTTGTACGATGACAGGATGAGGCTGGTCGCAAACTTTGAAAACATTTTCGCCAGATACGAAACCGAAACCGGAGTGCGTTGACTGAAGGTTATTGATTGCTTGACGCATATCACCTTCACATGTGAAGATGAGAGCAGTAAGACCATCATCATTATATTCGACCTAAGTCAATAGCAGATTTGGTTAGTAAGAATACGACAAGCGCAGTAATTGAAATATCACCTCCTCCATTTCGCATATTTCTAACAACCTTTTCAGAATTTCGGTGTCTCTGAGCTTTGCATATCGTAGGATGGCACACCGACTCTGTATTGGTTCGATTATTTTGTTAGACATGTTACATGCCAGGCAAAAGCGAGTTGTGTTCGAGTAAATCTCCATCGTTCTTCTTAGTGCTTGCTGTGCACCACCGGTCATACTGTACAACGGAGTGAGTGTCACCAAGATGTAACTTCGTCGATTTTTGCACCTGTCAGCCTCGTCCAGAATCACAATTTTATGCCGCCCAGGAGGAAGGGTGACCTTCTTCTGTGCAAAGGCCTTTATTTTATTCCGTACGACATCGATTCCTCTAGGGGAAGGTCAAAGCAAGAAATACATAAAAGATTAGAGCTGCAAACCTCTCATCAGAAGCGTTGAGTTCGAGAACACCCTCTTTGTATGCATCCCCGAGCAACTGATGCGCTAGGCAATGTATACTCGTTGTTTTTCCAATACCCGGTAGACCCTACAATGGCATTTGCATCAAGAAATGGGATCCAATTGTATTAAAACGCACCGATATGATAATATGAGGGCAATTTCCATCCTTTGCAATGACCTTCAGCCTTTCAATAGTATCAATATTTCCGACCACATCGTCCAAGCTCTGCGGCCTATACTTCTCCACCCTACCAATTCTCAGTCACAGCAACCATCTAGAAGCCGAATCACGAACCACGGTAGTTCATAGCCTGAACTTGCAGCGGCACTAGCTGGTGCCTTCCCTGATGAAGCCATGAGTGAGGCGCGACGCGTGACACTGTGACATTGCATGTCTGTGACCAGGTGTGACCATACGCGTTTATTCCATTTTGCGTTTGGGCTTAATGTCCTCTTCGTTGCTGCCTTCTCTCAGTCATTGCTGTCAACGTCAACGCTTCAATATCGTGTTGCAGCATGGTGAGTAGAGCATGATATTTGGAGTCAATTCTTACAGTATATACTTGCAGGTTCAAAAGGGTCCCGTTTTTTGTCGATGAAGGCCTCAGAGGTGCTCTCTGCGACGACAGACCTTCCTAAACTACGCCTCGACTACCGCGCTATTTCAGAGTCGATAGTGTACAAGTCTCACAACGCCTTCAATCGCAAGGCTCCACTTCCGATTGGTGCATTGCAGTCGGTCGTGCGCCATTACGATGAACAGAAGAGACTCTCCAATGAGTTAGGCTTGAAGCGCCACGCACGGTCGAACTTAGGCGAAAAGATGCGACAGATCAAAGATCCAATTGAGAAGCAGGCTGTCTTGAATGAAGCTAAACTTCTCAAGATGGAGGTCACAGACCTGGAGCAGCAACTCGTGACAGTGGAGGACATTTTACTGGGGCTTGCATTGCAGATACCGAATGACACACATCCCGATGTACCACTAGGTCCAGAGGAAGCTGCTGTGGTACTTTCCACTCATGGATCGGATCCCATTGCCGCCAGTGGCAAACGTGACCACATGGATATTGGTCGCGCTCTTGGTATCCTTGACTTCGAAGCGGGGGCGACCGTTACGGGTTCATCATGGTATTATCTGCTAGGAGAAGCTGCACTCTTGGAGATGGCTCTGACCAACTATGCCCTCTCAATTGCTCTTAAACACGGATTTAGATTCGTCACGACGCCGGACGTCGTTCGGGCAGACATTGCCCTACGATGTGGATTCCAACCCAGAGATCAAAATGCTGATCCACCTGTTTCGCAAATGTATCATATTGCATCTTCGAATCCTTCTCATCCCGAACTCGTACTTTCTGGCACTGCAGAAATACCGCTTGGCGGTATGTTCGCAAATCAAATATTCACGGAGCAAGCTTTGCCTTTGAAAGTGGTCGGTCTTGGCCGTTCATTCAGAGCTGAGGCAGGTGCCCGCGGCGCAGACACTCGTGGACTGTACCGAGTTCACCAATTCTCGAAGCTTGAGCTTTTTGTTGTTTGTAGTGAAGACGCGAGTGAACAAATGATGGAAGAACTTCGTAGTGTGCAAACCGAAATTTTTGAAGGCCTAAATTTTCCGTTTCGGTGAGTAACAATATTAGACCGAGGCCCCTACTCTGACATTATAACACAAGAGTTTTGGATATGCCTACCGAAGAATTAGGTGCTAGCGCGTACCGCAAATATGATATGGAAGCATGGATGCCAGGTCGAGGGAGTTGGGGAGAAATATCTTCCGCATCTAATTGTACTGATTACCAGGCCCGTCGCCTCCATATCCGCTACCGTCGGTCGTCAGGTACGCACAGGCATACCACACCAGCGTCCTTATCCGCTTCGACTCAATCAGCACCTGCGATACCATTCGCCCACACTTTAAATGGCACTGCAGCTGCCATCCCCCGTCTGGTTGTTGCTCTTATCGAGAACGGTGCAAGGTTCGATGAAGAAGGCACGCTAGTGGGTCTTGATCTACCCAGCACTTTGAAGCCTTTCTGGCATGGTACATCTTCGATCATATGGTGGACTTGAGCGTGGGATGTTGGCATGCTAGTTGTTGTCATTGTCAAGATGAAGGTACAGAACTTTGACAAAACGATCTAACGATCTGATTGTTTGTAATTTAGGGAACTCAAGAAATAACCCTTGTCTGATTGGCTGGTACCTTCAGCGAGTTCAACGACGACTTTGCCAGGCTTCCAAGTTCGTTAGGATGTATATGTGGGCAGGTGCATAGGCAGCTCTGGTACTTCAATGAAGCATTGCGTTTTGCCAAAGAGACAATGGTTCGACCTTAAGGGGAAAATGCGCACATGTCATGACCTGATTTTTCTCAGAGAGATACCTGGGCTTTCGACCCATTTTGACCATGCACAACTTTTCCGCACGCAAGCGGGCAAGCTGGCTTGGATTTCAAAATGAATAACCAACCCCCCAGTTACTTGTCTATCAAGTGATATAATCACAACAAAGGATATGCCTTCTGTTTGGTCTGCATAGGAATGTGATACTGTACATCATCTGAGTCTTGCGTGTACGCTACCTTCTTTCTCAGCGCATACTGTAGGCGTTTCACTTCCAACTTCGCTTCACCATCGAGCGCCTCGTATATCCGATCCACCAATCGAACGAGACTCCCCGCGTCATATTGAGCAGTCGGTGTTTTCAGGAGATCGAGAGTGTACGTGACAATGCCAGGCAGTGCCTTAACTGCTTCTGGCTCGAGGTGGAGGTCATTCCAACGCATCGCCCACCATGCTCCTTTGAGGAGATCCCACCATTCTTTCTCGGATATGGAAAGCCCGGTGGAGCAGGAACCTCTGGGACTGCGGGGAGCATGGCTGCAAGATAGTAAGAATGAGATGTGACAGACGATAGTGGTCAACTGCCCGCGACCAATTTCTCAGCTCCAGTCAAAACGCTCTCTGCCGTTTGCAGAACCCCACCAAAAATGAGCGATGGACAAATTTATAGTTGGTCTCTTCTAACGCATATACACACCAGACGCCAGGGTACGGTCTACTGGTGTGTCACTACCCCCTTCGAATCATACCGACAGAGCGCTGTACTTATTAAGGAATTAATGTCATGATGTTATGGCGTACGTCAATCGTTTTAGAATGTACTTGTCAATCTGAATGGATAAAACTATGAAAACACAGTGACCACGCCAATGGATCACTCAAATGTCTGCATGTCGAACGAACATCTAGTACTTGTTAATTATTATGCACCACTTTTTCCGCGCACGACTGCGAGAGTTGACCTGGATTTCGAAAGGAACGATCAACCTCATGAGTTGCTCGTCTAGTATATCAAGACAACTTGAAAGGATATACTTTCATTTGGTCTACATAGGAGAGTGATACTGTACATCGTCCGACTCTAACTGATATTCAGCTTGCGTGTGATGAACTATGCTGCCCTATTTTCCAGCGCATCCTGTAGGCGTTTCATTTTCAACTTCGCTTCACCATCATCAAGCGTCTCGTATATCCGATCCACCAATCGAACGAGGCCCCCTGCATCATATCGAGCGCTCGGTGTTTCCAGGAGATCGAGAGTGTATGTGACAATGCCAGGCAGTGCCTCAGCTGCTTCTTTCTCAAGGTAGAGGTCATTCCAACGCATCGCCTCCCATGCTCCTTTGAGCAGATCCCACCATTCCTTCTCGGATATACTGTCCGAAAAGCCCGGTGGAGCAGGAACCTCTGTGACTGCGGGGAGCATGGCTGCAAGGTTTGTAGTGGGACTACATTCTTCCTTGTTCGTAGGCTCATAATCCAGAGCAGAGGTCAGGGTAGCCCGCCCCAACGAGCTTCGGTAAACCCCTGAGGGGTTCATCCGTATCAATATGGCTGCAAGATAGTAAGAATGAGATGCGACAGATAATGTTGATGGATTGTTCTTGATGACATGGTCTAGGAGAGATGTGCATCGCTCTATATGACCGGCTCTCTCTAAGTGAGCACGCCAATCACTTTGCTTTGCCAGAGTGAAGATTAGTCGTAGATAGTAGTCGTTACGTCTGGGATTAAAGACAGCGTCCGGTTCATCGTCAGAACGCTGTGGCGCAATAGGTTTGGTTGCAGTGAACAGAGCTGGCGCGAGTTCCTTTAACAACTTCTCCCGAAATTCTCCCTCCTCCTTGTCAACTATCTCCACTAGTTCAAAACGAGCATCGAATACAGCTCGAAGGGCAGCATGGCGTCAAGGTAATTGTCTCGTCTGGTGTAACCTCCCAAACCCCGCATGGCACTCAATACGAGCAGTGCATCTCCCATGGCATCGAAGTCCCTCGTTTCGGACTTCCGGAAGTGTACCAGGAAGTCCACGAGCCAATCAAAGTCGTCTGTGGTACGCGAGTCCTCCTTCCAGTCGAAAACACCATCCCAGATCAATGCAGTATCGGTTGGCTGCAAAAATCCTGGGCAGCCAGTCACGATGGCCAGGCGCAAGGAATCACGTGCTTTATCTTCATGCTCTTCATCGAAAGTGGTGGCATACTGGCGAAAAAAATTCTTTACACCTCTCAAGTCCCCAGGGAAGACTGAGGTGACGCCAATCAGTCCAATCATCAAAGCGCATTAAATCCGAGGAAATGATGGTCTCGATAGTTTTATTGCATACGAGATAGTGCAAGGCTCTCCCGCACGCAAGAGCTCTTCGGCGTGCCGAATTACTGAGCAGGGCATTATCATGAAAGCATGCCGCAAAAGTAGACTGCAATTGTAAGCATGCAGCTGTCATGTTCACCTTAGGGGCCCATCTGATGGTCGGCAGCAGCCAAGCAGCCGAACTGATCACCTCTGGATTTGTGGAAGTGTTGAATATCCACCTCATCGATCGTACCGCAGAGGCTATCTCCCGACTCTCCTTGAGCTCTCTAGGGTCGTGTGACGAACACATCTCCTTGCTCCCTTTCCAGCCCGCCGTGACTTGGGCTGGGAGGTGCCCCCCAATGAAGCGAAGGAATGCTGAAATAAAAGTTTGAAAGGGACATTGCGGGAATTTCAAGGAGGCGACGATAATGAATAAGCAAAAGAACAAGCCGAACGCCATCACCACGATAACAGCGATTGCTGTAGCTCCTTGCTGATTCCATACGAAGGCTGAGAGAGCAATTCCAAAGATAAAGAACGAGATTTGCAGTAACATGAGAAATGATAGCAGCACAGCGTGGAAGTGCCATGCTTCCAAACCGTCTAACTTTTCTTGTCTGTCCTTTCCACGAGCAGTCGATTTGTAATGGCTGAGCCACTGTTTGCCGAGGACAGCCCCGAAAGCAGCCAGAAGGTCGAGCGACAATGCAGCATATGCAAAGGTCTGAAACCAAATAGTATTTGGCGGGTTTGCTGCTGAGGCAGCGAGAGGTGAGATGGTGGTATTCGATGATGTGTTCTGAACGAGCTGCCACAATAAGGGGGTCGTGGTGTTGGGTTGCATGGCAACAATAAAGGCGGTATTGATAGCGGCGAAGAGACCAGACTACGATCTTCTTAGACAAATACATGCTCCAAAATCATTCGATAGCTTACAGAAAGGAGTACGATGTCCATGTCGCTGCTGTTCCGCTCTAGAAACTCGCCGTCGTACTCTGTTGCAGCCTGATTATAAGACGCCCAGAACCTGTTATATGTGTCCTTGTTCCCTTTCTCCGTTATATTCGAGTCCTCCAAGGTCGTGAGGATTTTTTGCAGAATTTCCTGTGTTCTGATATTGTATTTAATCAACGATCGATTATCCACATTAAACACCTTTACTTACGCATAGTCATTTTGCAAGAAGTCTTTCTTCGGTGTTGTAGCCATCAGTACGGGAGAGCCGCGTTTTGGATCACCAAGTGCTGGTTGAATAGTATGCAAGTAATGAGACCGCGATGGAGCCCAAGGTCGCTGAGTGGTTTTCAAAAGTAGCCAGCATGTATATATATGCTGCTGCTGGCGCCTGCGGCTCGGTAGGTTCAATAGGCTGTAATGCGGTTCCAGATTGAACCAACGACGCTCAATAACAGACAAGCGCTCTTTTACGACCTGGCATCATTTCGTTGACGCTGTCGAGCGCTCTTTGCATGCACTCATGACATTTGGCATCACAGAGAGCGACAGACTCTGACAGGGAAGATGCATTTATAAGGCCATGGGTCACCGAGTATGCGGATCCTAAAAATGGGGCATCCAATGAGGACAGGAGCATCCTTGAACAATAGAGCCTGAGGCGCCGTAGGGTATCAGTCAGCGTGTTTACTAGCGCCTGGATTGATATTTTTGAGGAGGTGCTATGCAGGTCCAGTCGCGGATTGGATGTCCGATGAGCTAGGCCCTTGGCTATCATATAGATGGGCGGTAGGCGACCTATATGCTTGTACGGTATGTAAGTATCAGCCGCTGGTCGATCCGACTTAGTATGGCGAAGTGTAAGTTAAGGTAGCTCAAGTCACGTGCTTTTTTTACTGATTTTTCGGCCATTTTCGACATTCTCACCTGGCCAACAAAGTTTTCCGATTGGGGTTCTCCTGACTTCTCTTGTTAATGTATTCTACGAACTCGCACACCACAACAGTGCCAGCGCTACCTGGGAATCCTTCGACGATAATTAGTGCTATGGGATCATCGGCCATTGCTTTTGCTCAACTTACGCATTCCAGGGTGACTACTAAACGATTCATGGGAATAAAGCACTGCACAAGCGGCGCCGCAGGGAAGATGAATCATTTTCGTTTCAAACCAGTGTGATTGGTGTTAACGTGATCTTCCATGGAAGAAACCATACCATCTATTAGTCAAAATCTTTCCGCACGCGAGCGCGAGAGCTGACTTGTATTTCAAAATAAATGACCAACCCCCGAGTTACTTGTATGCAACAAGTGATATAATTACAACACAGGATCTTTTATTTGGTTTGCATAGGAAAGTGATACTGCGCGTTGTCTGACTGTAACTGGTATTCAGCTTGTGTGTGATTATTTCAAAATGCATCCAGTAGGCGTTTCACTTTCGACTTCGCTCTACCATCATCGAGCGCCAAGTATATCCGATTCACCGGTGAAACGAGACTTCCCCTGTCATGTCCAGCAATCGGTGTTTCCAGGGTATTGAGAGTGTACGTGACAATGCCAGGCAGTGCCTCAACTGCTTCTTTCTCAAGGTAGAGCTGATTCCAATGCATCGCCCACCATGCTTCTTTGAGCAACTTCCACCAGTCCTGCTCGGATATATTATCCGGAGAGCTCGGCGGAGTAGGAGCCTCTGGGGCTGCGGGCAGTGTGGCTGCAGGGTTTGTAGTGTGACGGCATTCTTCCATGTTCGTAGGTTCAGAGTCCAGAGCAGAGTCCAGGGAAGCCCGCCTCAACGAGCTTCGATTACCACCCGAGGGGTTCATCTGTATCAATATGGCTGCAAGATAGTAAGGATGAGATGCAGACAATTTGTTCTTGATGACGTGGTCCAGCAGAGATGTGCATCGTTTTATGTGACCAGCTGTCACTAAATGAGCACGCCAATCACTCTGCTTTGCCAGAGTGAAAATGAGTCGCAGATAGCAGTCATCACGTCTGGGATTAAAGACAGCGTCCGGTTCATCGTCAGAACGCTGTGGCACGATAGGTTCGGTTGCAGCGAGCAGAGCTGGCGCGAGTTCCTTTAATAACTTCTCCCGAAATTCTCCCTCCTCCTTGTCAACTATCTCCACTAGTTTGAGACGGGCATCGAATATAGCTCGAAGGGCCGTGTGACGAAGCCGGGATGGTTTATCTGCTTTCATGGCGAAGATGATGGCGTCAAGGTAATCGTTTCGTCTGGTGACACTTCCCAGACCCCGCATGGCACTCAGTGCGAGCAGCGCGTCTCCCATGGCATCGAAGTCCCTCGTTTCGGACTTCCCGAAGTGTACTAGGAAGTCCACGAGCCAATCAAAGTCTTCTGCAGTACGCGAGTCCTTGTAGTCGAAAACACCATCCCAGATCAATGCAGTATCGGTTGGCTGCAAAAATCCTGGGCAGCCAGTCACGATGGCCAGGCGCAAGGAATCACGTGCTTTATCTTTAGTATCTGGAGCTGCGGTGTATTTCTTTTTTTTGGCAAAAGCTTCTTTACACCTCTCAAGTCCCCAAGGAAGACTGAGATTACGCCAATCAGTCCAATCCTCAAAGGGCATAAAATCCGAGGGAATGACGGTCTCGAGAGTTTTACTGCATACGAGATGGTGCAAGGCTGTCCCGCACGCAAGAGCTCTTTGGCGTGCCGAATGATTGGGCACGGCATCGGCATAAAAGCACGCCGCGAAAGTTTGTAGCAATCGTCCGTATGCAGCTGCCATTATCACCTCAGGGGTCCATCTAATGGTCGGCAGCAGCCAAGCAGCCGAACTGATCACCTCTGGATCTGCGGAATTGTTGAATATCCACTTCATCGATGGTACCACGGACAGCGTCTTCTGACTCTCCATGAAATTTCGAGGGCCATGCGATGAAGACATCTCCTTGCTCTTTTTCCATCCCGCGACTCCGACTCGGACGCGCCTCCCAATGAAGCGAAGGAATACTGCAGTAGGGGTTTGAAAGGGACATTGCGGGGATATTAAGGAGGCGAAGACAATGAATATGTAAAAACATAAGCCGAACGCCATCAACACGATAATAGCGATTGCCGTAGCTCCTTGATGGTCCCATACGAAGGCTGAGAGAGCGATCCCAAATAGAAAGAACGAGATTTGCAGTAACATAAGAAATGATAGCAGCACATCGTGGAAGTGCCATGCTTCCAAACCGTCTAACTTTTCTTGTCTGTCCTCTCCGAGAGCGATCAATTTGTAATGGCTGAGCCACTGCTTACCGAGGACAGCTCCAAAAGCGGCCAGAAGGTTGAGCGACAATGCAATGTATGCCAAGGTCTGAAACCAAATAGTATTTGGCGGGTTTGCTGCTGAGGCAGCGAGAGGTGAGATTGTGGTATTGAATGATGTGTTCTGAACGAGCTGCCACAACAAGGGGATCGTGGGGTTGCGTTGCATGGCAATAATGAAGGCGGTATTGACACCGGAGAAGAGACCAGACTGCGATTTTGTTAGCCAAATACATGCTCCAAAAGTGTTCGGTAGCTTACAGAAATGAGTATGATGTCCATGTCGCTACTGTTCCGCTCTAGAAACTCACGATCATAATCTTTTGCAGCCTGTTTATAAGACGTCCAGAACCTGTCGATTATGAACTCATTGTTCTGTGGTGGCCCCTGAAATACATGAGTCGAGTGGTGTACGGATACACCATTCTGGACATGGTCACTTGCGTGGCACGGTGAGATTATGCCTTTTAAGCTAGACGTCTTCGCTTACACATGGTCATTTTGCAAGGAGTCTTGCTGCGGTGTTGTGGCCATCAGCACGCGAGAATCGCGTTTTTATCACCAAGCGCTGGTAGAACAGTGTGCAAAACCACGATGGAGACGAAGGCCGCTGAGTGGTTTGCAAAAGCAGCATGCACATAAATATGCTGTTGCTACGGCTCGGTAGGTTCAATAGGCTGTAACGCGGTTTCAGATTGAAACATGAGGCTCAAGAACCAGACGGAAAAGAGCTCTTTTACGTCCTGGCGTAACTTTTCGCCTTTATCGACACTGTCGAGCGCTCTTCACATGCACCCATGATGTTCGGCCTCACAAAGAGCGACAGACCCGGTCAGAGAAGTTGCATTTATAAGGCCATGGGTCACCGAGTGTGCGGATCCTAGAAATGGGGCATCCAATGAGGACGGGAGCCCGTTCGAAAGATAAAGCCTGAGGCGCCGTAGGGTATCAGTCAACGTGTTTACTAGCGCCTGGGTGGATATTTTTGACGAGATACCATGCAGGTTCAGTCGCAGATGTTATGTGTCCGATACTCTAGGCCCTTGGCTATCATATAGATGAGCGGTAGGCGACCGATGCTTGTACAGTTCGTAGTGGTAAACCTTGTCACACGTGACATATATTCAGTTTGCTGTTGCAGCTCCGCGTCGGTAGATGAGGCCGTAGTTTTGAACTAGATCGATACTACCTTGGCAATGCAACAGCCGCAGAAACGGACAGACTCACTTTCCAGGGCCCAGAAAAATTCTTTCAAGATTCCACCCACGTCTCCAAACGGCCTCGTGGCGTTTAGCATCACAAGGACTTCGACTTCGACAAGGAAATCACATTTTATGAGGCTATGTAGTATGACTCCTGGTTGAATAGGGTGTTCGGGTCCCTGACATTCCTCGGGAATGTGGATCTAGGCAAACATGAGGCATCCAACGAGGATAGAGATAAAGGGCCTTCAATCATCGTTCGAAAGAGAAAGGCCATCGATGCTGTTCACTACCTCCTAAGGGTTTGACCTGCTGTTTGGATGCCTGAAATTAGGGTCCTTTCCACCAGTCACGATGACTCTGGACCGGAAATGTGGTGACTCACATACAGTATTCCATGGCTCACTTCTTAAGACATGTCGTGAATGATACATGAAATACGTATTGATACGATAGAACGCATGGCTTTGGACGTAGTTACTACGATCAGGCAAGAAAATTCTAGTGGATTGTCAAGAACGAGTGCTGGATCCAGCGAGGTTTCTAATGGACCTCCCCTAAACACAATATCCGCATATATAATCCCGCAGCCCTTCTCTTCCTTTCCTTCGGGAAACTAGTACTACTATACTTGTGACCCCACCTTTGCGAGACGAACTTGGTTGCCAGTGGCAGTGCCAGTAAGTTGATTTCCTCGACATGTTGGCGATTTATCGTTCTCAGTATGATGTACAGGGTGACTCGAGCTAATTCCATTTCTGCCGACGTGGTGGTTGTGGTTTGCCTTCCCATTTTTTGTCTCAACAACGTTGAGCTGGTGGCCTGGCAACTTGAAGGGGAAGAGGTGAGCTTTCTCTTAGAAACGATCATCAAACATGATCTGACAATCGCAGTCGTATATCATATAGGCTCTTTCCTTGTGAAAGTTTTGGGTCCTTCGAGATATTCTCCAAGGCACCGGAACTTATTTGGTACGTCACTCGTTCTTAGTTTTCGATCTATTGCTTAGTAGTTCTGGCAGACGGCGTTGATTACGGACCCCGTGTCTATCCATACTCCATGATCACCTGGCCTGCGCGGTTTGCTGAGATGCATCCATGTACTCGCCTAAGAACTCATCGGGATGATTGCAGCATTGTGTGGTCCAAATCGATTCTGTCGATAATATCTCAAATTAAATAACCCAGGACGAAAGTCTCAGTCTCTTGACCGAGCCTACGTATCATTTGTCAAGTCATGTTATGTAGTAGTTACGTTGAATTGAAATAGTTGAAACGTTGACTCATCGCACCCGTGATAAGAACGCCACTAGCCTCCAAGGTTAACGTTGAACAAGACAAATTATTTACATAATTCCAATCACACGTAGAAACGATTTCAACTTCAATGAATTTCATCTGTCTGTCATGATTACAAATATCCTCTCCTCCGCTCCAAAAATCCAATCGTGGCGCCCTCTTCCGTCTGCGCACCTCCACAAAACTAAGGCAACAAACCACCAAAGTCTACGTAAAGGGGAGAACAGAAGGACACAATGTTGATGCAAGGGGGAATGTGATAAGTGATAAGAAAAACCAAAGGGAGAAATATGACAAAAAGATATCCAACGAGCGTGTGTAGCCGCAGCGGGGAATCTATGATCATGAACGGTGACGGTGCAAGGGAAATGAAGAAAAGTTCTGCGAGTTCAAATGGCTTGGAACAGGATTATGGATTGGGAAACATGGGGGGTTCAATAAGAGAACCATCAACGGGCGCTAATGGGAAGACACATATCAAGCGGGTAAGGAAGTAGGCGGTCGTCTTATTTGCATCCTTGCGTACACGCAGAGAAGCTCAGAAGCGACGTGAAGAGAAATAGCGTCCGTACAATACATAAGGGGAGGCAAGTGTGTGATCTTCATCGACGGCGTTACGAGTCGCAGATATACTCGAAATGCGAAGCGATCAAGGAATGCAAAGTGACTGCGGCGTAGGGCATGAATGCGAGATGTCGGAATTGAACGCGTCGTGATGAAAGACGTAAAAGCAAACCAGTGCGAGTTGACCTGGCGTGCCCTCACCGTGACGTTTCGACCTCGTAACCCGCGAGATGACCCAACCGGACTTGTAAAACCGCGACAGACCATCTATTGACACCATATCCAACAGCGACCGAGCTACACCTGCACCTTCCCTCCACCCCCATTCTCGGTCGCACTCGGGGCGTGCCCTGCACATGAAAACAAACCAAGAGGAAGTATGATGCAATTACCAGGCGTCTTCCCTACCACGAGGACGGGGTTGAGCCACAGCAGCAGGAGCTGCTGCCTGCTGCTGACGCGTGTGAGAACGAAGCCTATAAAAAAAAGTTAGGACCGTAGCAAGGCAAAAGATTGAAAGAAATGTGACGGGCACCTACATCCTGTCGCTTGCACGGTGTTCTTCTTCCTCTTGAACGACCTTTCGCCTGCCAGTAGCAGCCTTTTGGCTGGTGCTGGCGCCGTCATCTTGGGCGCCACGCTGCACAGACCAGTCGAAGACGTAGTCATACTGGAAGCCCTCGCGAACGAAAAGGTCGCGGAAGAGCTTGCGGAGGTAAGAATAATCAGGCTTGTCATCAAAGCGAAGTGCGCGAGTGTAGTTCAAGAAAATGCCGAACTCGTTGGGGAAGCCGCGGCAAAGGATATCGGTGGGAGTAGTCATCTTCTTCTCCATGATCCTGTCATATTTCTGCTTCTTAGTAGCAGCCTTGAGTCCCTGCCAAGGAAGGGCGCCGCGTAAGAAGTACATCAGGACGTAGGCGAGTGACTCAAGGTCATCGCGACGAGCCTGCTCAACCCCCAAATGGGTGTTGATTGAGGTGTAGCGAGCGGTACCGGTCAAGTTCTTATTTTCCCTGTAGGGAATGTGCAAGTGGGTCTTTGGGTCACGGAATTTCTTCGCGAGACCAAAGTCGATGACATTAACTTGATTGCCACGCTTGCCTATGCCCATGAGAAAGTTGTCTGGCTTGATATCCCGGTGAATAAAGTTGCGTGAGTGGATGTACTCGATACGGGATATCTGTGGCGATACAGTGGCGGGTTAGTCCTTGCATATAGTGACTACGGTAGGATTTACTCACGAGTTGGTCGGCAAGGAGCAAGACAGTCTTGAGGGTGAATTTGCGGTTGCAAAAATTGAAAAGGTCTTCTAAAGAGGGTCCGAGAAGGTCCAAGACCATGGCATTGTAATCGCACTCAGTGCCAAACCAGCGCACGAAAGGAACACCGACACCGCCGGCAAGGGTTTTGTATACCTTTGACTCGTACTCGAGCTGGGGGTGCTTTGCCTTTACTGACTCAAGTTTGATAGCGACCTCCTCGCCAGAGATGATGTTGATCCCGAGATAGATATCACCTGTTGTAATGAGTAAAAACGGGAGCATATAAGGATGTTGTGAACTGACCGAAGGAACCTGAGCCAATCTTCTTGCCGAGCCTGTATTTCCCACCGACACGAAGGTCAAGTCGGTGTGCTGAGCTGTCTGCCATTGTTCGTTACGAGGGTGTAAGATGGAACGGGGACTGATGAAAAGAAGTCGAGTGAGTATGGGAGTTTAATGGAGACTAGAAGAAATTGAGAAGCAGATTAAATAGTGAAGAAGGGCAGGTTATAGTGTGTTCCGGGTCGTGGCAATTACGGTTGTATCGGAGGTGGCTGACGTTGAACTAGAAAGTGCGGGAAACACATGGGAGAGCTAATCGCTTATGAAAAGGAAAGAAAAGAAAGGGCTCCGAGGGTTCTTGATGGTGATAGGGAACCATACAAGCTATCCAGGCTTTTAACTTGAGCTGGTGTAATGTCAAGGCCAACGTGGGAGCCTCGAGGCCGCTCATTATAGCGACCAAACGAGATGGAAATTTACTCAAAAATCAGTTAAACTAGACAACTCACCGTAAGTCTTGGGCTGAACTTTGAAGACTACTGTGACGGTGATAGTTTGAGAGAGATAAGAACGCAACAGAGCTACGTAGAGGAGAGAAAACAAACAAGTGGAGGTCCGTGGGAGCCGGAGTTTAAATTGGTCAGAGGTCAAACTCGGCTGCCTTACTTCGAACATCCATTGTCGTTGCCCCAGTACCCTTGACCCCCAAATACGGTGAGCTACCCGTGTGCCGTACAGTGGTGTGCATAAAACAATGATCATTCAGGTTGCTGTAATATCCTTGTGATCAAGCTTAAAGCCGTTTGTTCTACTTGATCCATTTCATCACAATGTGACGACTCATATACTACGTGTGCAATTAGCATAGCTATTCTTTTTTTTTCTCAGCAGAAGCAGAACGCCGTCCCATGCCAGCGTGATACGTGACGGTGTATTACAGCAATGTACATCAAGTCAGATCTGACACGACCCTTGGATGGAACGTTTGATTGTACCTTTCCCCGTCGTGTGATATGCCCTTATAGCAGAATGGCCTGCTCTTCACCACAGTTGGGATGTGATAATATAATACGCTAGACTAATATGTAGTCCTTTAGCTAAACTTTGTGTAATATCACTAGGGTAAATGATCTTGTTGCACTTGATCTCGGAATAGCTTCCTTTTATGGCCGCCATATCAATTTTGATTGTCAAGTGGTCCACGGTTGACACCAGCGCCATCTTCCTCCTCAACCGCATCGACAGTACTTTTCGACAAAGTCCCTATCTTCCGCCTAGGATCCTCCAGTCATTCATTTTACTCTCTAAATCTCTCTCTTTCAATCGCAACACTCGTTTTGTGCGACTACCAATCGAATTTGTTTAGTAACCATAGACTATCGCCTCTTCGTGTCCGCAAAAGATTATAGTAAAACATGGCATACCGCCAGCAAGATTCCTACTATGATTCTGCACAGAGTGCGCCAATTCAGCCAGGTTTTCCCCCTCCAGCGCCTACGATCCATAACCAACAATACCCTGCTTATGATAACCAATGGGACGACAGACCAGGGTCTCCCAAATCCGTCCAGAGTAGCCAATTTCATGGTTCTCAGGTGCACCTCAATCCCCAGTACGAGATGAGTCAGGTCTACTCTCCCCCCGTTCCCTCAATGCCGTACCATGCATACCAACCAGACTACCCTCCCGGTCCCGTACGCCCTGGTCCACTCAGAGAAATGAACACAGGATACTCTGTAGCCAAGGAGAAACTCATGAAACGTCGCTCTGTCCGGCATGTCGAACTTCAGAACGGTAATTTGGTTCTCGATGTCGCAGTCCCCACGCACATTGTGCCAAAGGGCATGAGCAGCGCTGAGGAAATGACCACAATGCGATACACTGCCGCCACATGTGACCCCGATGAATTCATGCGCAGGAAATACTCTCTCAGGCCCTATCTCTATGGCCGCCACACTGAGCTGTTCATAGTTATGACCATGTACAATGAAGATGAAGTACTTTTTGTGAAGACTATGAATGCGTAAGTTCCGTCCGCGGACGTCGGGATATGTGCCTGATCTATTTTCAGCGTTATCAAGAACATTGCCCACCTTTGTGGTCGGACGAGATCGAGAACATGGGGCCCTGAGGGCTGGAAGAAGGTTGTTGTATGTGTCGTCTCAGATGGACGCAGCAAAGTCAACAAGCGAACGCTTCAAGTACTCACTCTTGTGAGCTTACCCGCTTTTGATTGAATTCGTTGCTTATCATCCGTCCATAGATGGGTTGTTATCAAGAGGGTATCGCTAAGGATTCGGTGGGAGGAAAAGACGTGACCGCTCACATCTTTGAGTGAGTAGATTGAGTGGAGAGGTAAACCTTGGTTAAATTCATGACCTGCAGATATACTTCAAATATGGTGGTAACGGAGACTGGGGAGGTGTCTACCGGGCACTGCCCGGTTCAGATTATCTTCTGCTTGAAAGAGCAGAACAAGAAGAAGCTTAACAGCCACCGCTGGTTCTTCAATGCTTTTGGTCCATTGATCAACCCGAATGGTAGGCGCACTCTCCCATGAGGGATTTTTAACACTGACTCCATACATAGTCTGTGTTCTCCTGGATGTTGGTACCAAGCCCACCAGCACATCAATCTACGAGCTGTGGAAATGTGAGTGGATGTCGTTCGTTCTATATTTTACCTAATGATACTTTCTAGGCTTCGATAAACACTCTAATGTTGGAGGAGCGTGTGGAGAGTGCGTCAAATTTATCGTCCTGTGCTTCGTTTTATTGAATTCTTCTGTCAAGGATTTGTGTTGACACCGGCAGAGCTTGCTCACTGCTCCTGACGAGTCCTCTAGCTGCTTCCCAGAACTTTGAGGTAATGTTGTTGCAGCTCTGATTCCACCCATCTATTTTGACATGGCATGGCAGTATAAAATGTCTAATATCCTCGATAAACCTCTCGAGGTAGGCGGATTATTATTGGCTACACGATCAACGTCCTAATCTACCAAAAGAGTGTGTTCGGTTACATTAGCGTGCTTCCCGGTGCATTTAGCGCCTACAGATACAGGGCCCTCCTGAACGGTCCTGATGGCAAGGGTCCCCTTGCCTCGTATTTCAAGGGAGAGGCTATGCATGGCGGAGGTGCTGACGGTGCTGGACTCTTTGGTATGAGATACACTTCCTTCAATTTCTTGTCCCACCAACGGTTGTTGCAGAGCGAAACATGTACTTGGCCGAGGATCGTATTCTGTGCTTCGAAATTGTCACCAAGAAACGGGAAAGCTGGATGTAGGTTAAATATCACCTTTCACGCTGCACGGTTCCCTCAACGTACTCGATAGCCTCAGATATGTTAAGAGTGCCAAGGCTGCTACCGATGTCCCCACAACCGTGAGTAAAGATTAGTTTTTGTGATGTGTTTTCACATATTTTCCAAGGTTCCCGAATTCATTTCTCAGCGTCGCCGATGGCTGAACGGGTCCTTGTTCGCTTCCTTCCATTCGACGATATTCTTTTACAGGATCTGGACGTCTGGGCAGAATCCCATTCGTATGCTTGTGCTCCAGGTGCGTACGCGCGGGGATTCATCACACCGCATTACTAATAAGAACTCATGTAGATCGAGTTCATTTACAATGCAGTCCAACTCATATTCACGTGGACGTCACTTGCGAACTTTTACCTGGCTTTCTACTTTGTCAGTAGTCCCTTACCCTCATACATCGATGAGTCTGATGTAAGTCGTCGTAGTTGGTTTCATCGGCAACTACGTCCACAGATGGCGCTTTCAACTTCCTGAGCCAAGGAGCAGGACAAGATGTTTTCCAGATTTTCCTGAAAGTAATGAACAAATCCTTTATAAACGAGAAAACGTCTAAAGTGTCATTCAGCTCTACATCGGCCTTTTGTTCGTCGTCACCGTCTGTTCGCTAGGAAACCGGCCACAGGTATGTACTTCGACCCATGACAGACAATTTGCAAAGGTTAACTCCATTCTTGCTAGGGTTCTAAATGGATTTATGCGCTCTGCATGGTACTTTTCGGTATCTGTAATATTATCACACTCTGGTGCGCCGGATGGACGGTGTACCTTGCTGTACCTCATTCCGTCGCTGGATGGAAGGACTTCCCTCAGTGAGTATTTTAGTGGTCAGTATGTTTGGTCTGGTGGTTTATTGTTTCCGACTAGACTCGTTGCTACGAACCAAGCCCTCCGGGAGATCGTCATCTCGCTCGCTGCTACGTATGGCTTGTACTTCTTCTCGTCGTTCATGCACTTGGAGCCATGGCACATGTTCACTTCGTTCATCCAATACATGTTCCTGCTTCCGAGTTGTGAGTATCTGTGTCGTTTATCTTGGTGATCGCATAGCTAATGTTATCATTGTAGATGTTAATATCTTGAGTATGGGCGTTTTCTATTGTATATGGAGATGAAATTGATCTTCTTGGTCGACAGTGATGTATGCCATGTGTAACTTGCACGATGTTACTTGGTAAGAGTGATTTCACTAATTCCTTACCTTCAACCTGACGATATGTCCAGGGGAACAAAGGGAGACAATGGCTCTGCGAAGGATCTTGGCGGAGCTAAGAAGGTCAAAGGCGAGAATGGCAAGTACATGATGGAAGTCGAGATCCCCACTGCCCGCGAAGACGTCGACCGCATGTGGGCAGCATCCCGCTCAGCCCTCAAGGTCAAAGCTCCTGAAGAGAAATCTCACCGTGATGCTGCTACAAAGCAAGCCGACCACGACCGGAACAGTCGTACTAACGTTGTACTTGCGTGGGTGGGGACAAACACGTAAGTCGATCCGCGTCCATTGTTTTGTTTGAGTTTTCGTTGATATGGACTTTTAATTGATAGCTTGATGATTGTTGTGTTCACTTCGCAAGCATTCTTGACTTGGGTGAACACTCACTTTGCGACATCCCAGGGCTCGAATTTCAACCCTTATTTGAGCTTCCTGTTTATCGCGCTGTAAGTATACTACAACGTTCATTGATACGGAGTCATCTTTGCTGACCCCAACACAGTGCTGCCCTATCAGCAGTCCGATTCATGGGATCCTTACTCTATCTCATCTTCCGATTGTTCGGGCACTGAGATATTTCTTGAGTTCCCCGTAGAATGTACTTTAGTCAAGAGTTGATCTCTTGGGCGTCATTCCTTTTGAACAATGGCAATATCCTTTTAGTCACGGTCCTTTGCTGTAATTCTGCGCGCATGTAATTTACCACTTGATATGTCGTTTCTTCATGATTTTGTCCTGGACCTTGGGCTGTGCTGGGCTACGGTATCATGGTCATGAGGCGATGTAGCGTCAGGCGACTTGGATATGCACAAGATATGTATCTTGCACCTATGTGTCGGGTGTTGAGACACTAAAACGGTAGGTGGTCCTATCATAGGCACGCTCATTAGTACTTATCTTAACTAGCTTAGCGCGCATGTGGAACAGCTATTATTACGTCTGCTCGATGGAACAGATTATTCATTGAATTTGCATCCGTATTCGATCATGACCCCCTCCTATCCCCACACGAATCCCATCCAAGTCATTGCACAGGCTCTCAGGAACCTTCCCGCTCGTTCGCCCTCATCGGTTGACCGTGATTTCCCCGCCGGTCTCGGATCATTGGTATCAAATTTGCAAAACTCTACACTGGCTCTACGCTCTACTGCAATCAGATGGCGTATCGCCAAATATCCACTTCAGTGCAAATCAGTGATGTGATAAACATCACGAAGCTCACCTTGTGTTCTGATTGCCTGGCAACTTAAATCAGTGAGGCAGCGCTTTTTGTTTTCCGAGGGGGGACTGGTTTGCAATTCTGTCATCAATACCTGTGCAAGATAATCAGACAACATCCGATAATCACCGTTGCCCAGATTGTAGACCAATGACCAACTTCGATCGTGACGAGTGTTGATGTAGGGAAGGTCCGATTTCCGCTGTCCTTTAAGCATGCTAGTGCGTCTGGATCCCGGATTGGTTCCACGGTAGACGGGGGATAGGTATATAACGGTGCATGAATGAATTTCAGGGCCACTTTCATAGCGCTGACGACGCGATTACCCAACCTGAAATAGTTTTATAGGTGAGTGTAGAACGTATATATTGGTGGTGCTGTGATGATCACTAAAGTCCCGAGGGTAGTAGACCAACATGGAAGCTGAGCTATCCATTCTGTTCGACGATGTACGCATCCTTCAGATGGGGAGGATGTTCCAACGTGAGCACTAGTTTTTGGGTCGTGCGAGTGCTAAACTTCATTCCTAGTGGCAGCAACATTCGTTGTCTTGTACGATCATGGTGAGTTTCTCTTGCAATACTTGAAAGTGCTCTATCTGATAAACCTCGACTTAGTGCTCTGTTGTCAGCAAGAAGTGATTTTAATTGCTCCTCAACTGAGAATAGTTAATTCACATATCTACGAATAGGTGGACTTGATTTGGGTATGTCTTCTCGGTGGCTTGTAGAAGCCACGCCTCAGTGAACATGGTCCTTCAGAACAGATCAAAGTCTCTTGTGTCATACCTCTACTTTACGGTCAGTGATACTATAACTCGCTGATTGACCAGGCGTTTGATGCTGTAACTCCCGCTCATAGACCCGCTACTTGGGGGATGCTATCTCAATGTAAGCGAGATGTTGTGTGGAAAAAATACATATTCATCTTTCTTCCAGAATTAGTGCAATATGTTCGGCTTCATCTTTTCGGTCTTGGTTGGTGTCACTGACGACCGCACGATAGTATTTATGGGCTCGACATTTTCAGTCAATGTAAGACAATTGATACTGTCCTACAACATATGACACTAACAAGTTCTTATTAGACGTAAGTCCACGCGAACCAACTTGCATGTCCGATCTATATCCACTTGCTAATCAACGAAAATATTTGCATTAGTTGTGCGTAGTCTTCTGCAGACACTCCTTTCAAAGCTGATATTATATTCAGGCCGTATTCTATTTCATTTCCAATCCTACGGGCCTTTTGTGCCAGTATGGGCTACACAAAGTACACCGTTTTGTCCATATCCGCAGAAAAGTACTGATGGGATCACTAGTAATCATGCAACTGCGCATTTACGCTATGTATCGCAAGTCCAATAAAATTCTGGCGTTCACGGGAGTCTTCTTTGTGCTCGAAATTGCAGCCATTTGCACGGTCCTGGCGCTAAACTTCGATCACTCCTTAACATACACCAATGAAGCCATACCCGGGCTTCTCAACATGTGTGCAACTTCGACTATCAATAGAAGCTTCACGGCCATTTACGTGCCTATCTTTTGTTTCGAGCTTCTACTTTTCGTCCTTGCCATATTCGTTGTGCTCAAGCACATGAAGAACACCCGTACAATTGCTGGGAAGAAGCTTCACAACACGATGGCAACACTGGTCAAGTACAACACGATCTACTTCTTCGTGTAAGCGTTATCATGTTACCTTTTTTGTTGTCGATTCGACTCTCTTATACTTATTAGTGAAATGGCCGGATGTGGTATCGCCACGACGTTGTATCTTGGTCTTCCGGTAATGTGGTTCTTGACGATTCATCCTTCAGGTCATTTAAGCTCTTCCATTTAGTCAATTTACCTGGAGATCGCGAATTCGGCGCTCATTGCAACTACGATCATCCTTGGGAGCCGACTCGTGCTTGGTACACGTAATTTCTATTCTGACCCATCCGTGGAAGATGGTTCGGGCCTGAGCCACGGGACCAGTCTGAGCCCCACATTCACCCAACCTTCATCATTTGGGTCACTATCCAGTCATATAGAGATGTCGATTATCAGTGACAAGGGCCATCATTTGGATACAAGTGATGACGCTGTATAAAGAGCTTATTGTTTGATCCCTAATGATCGTGCCGTCTGCATACTTTCCTTCTTATTCAACAACGTAGAGCAATTACTTCAACAATATATCAATATGCTATGATCAATGGCCATTTGCTTACAACAGGTGTAAATACACAAAGAGCACATTATTTCCTGTTCGCCGCCCAGTGACAGTGCTTGCCGTCTTCTTTGCTAGTAGTTCTCAGCTCAAAACCACCATCAGCCGCAAGACCTGATTCAACATCAGAGTCACCCTCATTGCACTGGTCGACGCATTCAGAGAGTCCGCTTCAATGATTTCATCAAAACTTCGCCTGAGTGATGAGCTGCTCATCAACCGTGACACAGCAAATCCTGTAACCAAATCTGTGCAGTTGTTGGTGATCGAAATCTTCTGAAATTTGATCTGATTGGCAAGGAGAATAACCTGACCTCTCTGTGCACGATAAAATGTTCCCACAGGGCCTGGTTTCGAATGGTTGATCTGTGCGCATCACAACAGGCACGTAACAGTTGTAGTTGCTAGCTTGATCCATCAGGTGCACGATTTGAACCACCGGTCCATTGTCTTTCGTGCCGTTCAGCCATTAGAGCACATGACGGTCAGCGTGTATCTCGAGCCCTGCAGCATGTAGTATGACCTCGTGAATACCGAGGAAGCGAGGATCTGCAGCGGAACATAAGTGAGTGAATGAGATCAGATTACACACATCATACCTGATCATTTTGATCTGTTGTTGATAAAGCGATAGTTACGTCTAGCCTCCCTCGCTTTCCTTGCAGTCGCCTATATCCTGTGTGTTACAGTGGCCACATTCAGAGATGATCTAGGAGTTCAACTTGCTCCGAATGTATGCAACAGTGTAGGTGCTCCTTTCCCCGATCACATCAGTTACTCTGTGCCTCTCTCGAGTGTTGATAGCTCTATGAACATGACTGAGTTAGACCGCATTGGCATTGCCCTAGGTAAATGTAAAGCAGCAGATCTTAGCGCTATTGCGCCGTCGCGGGTCCGGTCCGTCCGTCTTTCCAGTGCAGCCTAATAGAAGAAACGATGATCTTCATTCGTCTATCATGGTAAAGGGCTGCCCAGGGGAGACAAAACACAGCCTGGTGCCAGGCCTGAGGCGATGCTAATCAACGGGTTGACTAAGTTATCAGTTGTCTGGCAAACTCCTTTGTGGTGTCAGTTTGATGTTGGGAATAAGGACCTGATCATTGATAGTAGTGAAGGGGAGTATCGTCAAATTGGTGGAAGCTTTCAATTCGAAGACTGAAAATCCAGAACACGGTGTTGTGACTGATGCGCATCACGGCCAAATATAAGTTGAACTTGACATTACATCAGAGTGACATAAGATCATCATACACACGCAAGCCTGCGTCCCAAGGCTAATGATATATATGATACCCAACTTAATTGACGATCCAGCACAATGTCAAAGCTTATCCTAGTGGCAGGTGCTACAGGCAAACAAGGTCGAGCTCTCATCAAGTCTCTTCAACCCAATTCGGACTCGGATGACATACCATTTCGAGTGCTGGCTCTCACCAGGTCGGCTTCCAGTCCGAGCGCACAGCGCTTGGCCCAGGAAAGACACGTACAAGTGGTGGAGGGAGACATCGACTCGCCAGAGTCCATACGGAAAGTCTACGAAGATGCAAAAGGTTCAGGTGGAATCTGGGGTGTCTTCTGTGTTCTGGCATACCCTGGGCTTGGTGCGAACGCAGACGGGGAAGAACGACAGGGAAAGGTGCAGTCATTTTAAATAATTTATTGCACAAGCATATTTATACTGGAATACAACAGTTCATGGCGGATCTAGCGCTCGAATATGGGGTGTCAGTATACATCTACTCGAGCGCCGAACGTGGTGGCGAACAGAGCGATGAGACGGAGAAACTGTCGGGTCGTGCCAAAGTGCTTGCAGAGCGGCATGTCCAGGCCCTCGGTGAGAGAGGTCTCCCATGGACGTAAGCCTCTCAAGGTTGAAACTGGACGTAACTGACTTTTATGTTTCAGGATATTGCGCCCAGGCTTCTTCCTAGATAACTACGACGACTTCATTGGTTCTATTGCCGTGGCTGTGATGACTCGTGGACTCAAAGAGGACACCAAAGTTGGGGTGATTGTGAGTTCATCCTGCATATGTTTATATCCTGCTCTAAACCCCACCTAGGACGCGAAAGATATTGGTCATGTTGCTGCTGCCGTGTTCAAGGTGAAGCATTTTAGACGGGAGAAGCATTAGCCGCGACTGACAGTTCAATGGAAGAACCCTGAGAAATACAAACACCAGATACTCGTGGTTATTGGGGATGTGCTTACCATGTCTGAGCAACATGCATCCTACAAACGTGCAACAGGTCGAACTCTTCCCTCCATTCCTGGATTTTTAGCTGCTATCCTTTTAGCGTTGAATAAATCAACACAAGAATTGTGAGTTTGCAGCTGTTTCCCTTTTGACGTCAGCTTGAATGTAATTCAGGGTTCAACATTTTGAAAAAATCCACACGGCACGGACAACTGGCCAACATGAGCATTTTGAATCACAACTAAATTTATGCCATGAAGCCTATCCTCAAATGAAGACTGTCTACAACTGGGCTGTCGAGCAACAGAAAAACCAAGGCCAACCAGAAAATGCGGCAGAATGGAACAAGGTATCGTTGTGGCGGCTCATACTAGGAAAACTATAAAACATCGTTGCGAACACTGTGTCGAGTACTTACACACCTTCATGCATCACTACTCGCTTACGATCGCTTCTATATCTTCCCATGAACTCTTATTATTAAAGTAGCGCTTGGAACAATTGGAAAATGATGGACAGCCAACTAGAGCAATTCGAATATTAAAAGTTGTCTGGCAAACCCGTATAAACCCGAAGCACTGATTCAGAAAGCGAATTTTTCTTCTTGGGGGCCACCATATATATTTGCCGGAATAGCACCAGTATGCCGGATCATAACTTCCGGAGCGAGTGCTGACAGATATTGTGCAGAGAGAATTTGAGAAAGAACACATTGTACGCGAGTTCGGGATACTGCAACTGCGACGCCTGCCATGGTCAGCCAGCCCTCTTAGGTGGAGATACTTGCATACAGTAGGAACAAATGTTGCAGAGCGTTATGGCACGACAGTAGGGATCCACAGATGATATGAACAATCACAAGACAAGGCTTCTTGCTTGAGGTTTTACACCGAAAACCAGTAATAGACTGCATGAAAGGGTATCGGGTATATGAACATACAAACTCGAGCAGGTCCATCCGCACAATTTGAACATTATACAACAACCACCCACACGGCATCGTCCTTGTTATCGCTGTGGTTTCGTACCAAGTGAATGAGCTGCAAATAGATAGAAGTGAGCATGGACCCACAAGCAGATTAATGAATGTACATACGGCGGTGCGGTAAGTCAGAATCATTCGATTCCGACTTCCAGAACAACTCTTACAGGTTACTCGAATTGGACAAGATTCCATATCATCCACCGTAGTAGAATTCGGGTCTCGTCCGAGAACTTGGAAGAGATTATGTATTCGCTTGATGCATCCGCCTGCTTCCAGAACAGTACAATTCCATGGGTACATCTCGAAGGCTTCGATTGCTGCTTTCTCGTAAACTTCTACTAGTGACATCCTTCTACCGAGCGCTGTTGTTTCCATTGGAAGTTGGACCCACGGTTTGTCAAATGTCTTAACGCGTAGGCAAGAGTGGGCGAGCGCTGATGGATAAGTGACATGCAATCGACAATTGGAGCAGCGGAATACCAAAGCGGCGAGTTCGAGAGGGTCGATATCATTATCGATGCCGCCCAGCTCCGCGCGAACTAGATCTGCAAGTTGCCTAGTGGCCTGGCTGTTCCAGGCTAACAACAATTGGGGTAGACGAAGGGTAAGTGCGTCTACAAAAGCTTCCGCCGACAAAACCTCAGGGATATCTATCATGCATCGAACTTCCGAGAGTAGACAGATGTCTATCGCTTGAGGAAAGACCTTCAAGTTGTTGTTCTTATTGTTTTTGAATGTCTTCGTCATATCGCTTACAACAACGGCAAGATTTTTGAAGCAGTCTTGGAAGAGGACAGTAAGCCTTCGAGCTCTTTTGATTTCTAGAAAATTCTGAAGCCTCAGTAGAGAAACCTGACATGCTTTGGATGTGTGAGGCTTCGTACAAAGATAAAGGGTACGTTATACACGTACAAGAATCAGTCAACTCTTGGTCTTGTCTGACGACAAGGTTGTCGAATTCTTTTAATGCCGAGGCGTCCGACCGCAGCGATTCAAGCTCATCTCCCAATCCGAGGCTCTCGAGTTTTTCAACGACACTGAAAACAAGTAAGTTTTGGTCATATACCTTTAGTCAAGATAACATACTCTCTTTTCCTCTGGTCTACCAGCTCTTTGCGACGCTGGTCAGCTACTTCAGCCTCCCAGATGCGACACAAAGCTACGTGCTAAGAGCGCGTCAATAACGCATTCGGAAGAATACCAGGAATATCATACGATACCTGGTAGATTTCCTGCGTGACTTTCTCGCGATAGATTATTAGGTCGTTCAACAATAGGCTATCCTTCGAAAATTTGTACTGCATGTTGAGTTTGTTGACATCAGCGTGCGAAGCCACAGTGAGCGGCTTTCTATAGGTATTATCTGTGTGCCTAACGCAAGGCCCAGCAGAACTTATGACTGACATGGGTATGAGCTGCCCGGCATCGAGGCAGTTCAACTGGTCAACAAACAAAGGAAGCTTTTCTCGACCAATGAGCCTATGAATCATGAGAAGCATGAATAACGCGAGCTTCACAAATGCCTACATGTCATCTGTGCACCTGTTACAGCAACGGATGCGCAACTCCCATTGAATTACATCGCACGACGAGTAACACCGCTGGGAGTGACATAAGTGATCCGGACATTGATTGAGAAAGGACTAGACATGCATGACAGTACGGCCAGAACAGAAGGTTTGCATATGCGGGTTTGGAAAGGTACGATGGGCACTGAGGTAGCCGGTCGATGCGTTTCAAGGCTCCTGTCCATATTGACTTTGCTTTGCGACGACTAAGCAGAAACAAACGAAAGTGTTTGGATACCCGAGTAAGATATACAAGGTCCAGTGGGTGAAGATACCAGAAAATCTAGCAGGACAAAAGGTGAACAAGCCTAGAACACCAGTAGCCAACTCGAGCACATGCATACCTCAAAAAGCACGTCAAGAGGGAGCCCCAAAACCACAGGTTTGTCCACCATTGTGATTGCAGAAGTTGGACAATTACCCGCTTTTTAACGCATCCACCTGGCCAGACGAGTCAAGTTGACTCAAGTTGTCTAACATTATGGAGCAAAGTTAAAATAGAATGTTGCCACAATATTATTGTCATCATGTTTATATAATCACGTAAGTATGGCACGGGTCTACGGAAAGATCTTACACCTTCTTACCGGTTTGTTCATCATGGCTGTTCAAGAGACAGCTGTGTCGCGACGACTAAAGACCGTCAAACATATTATCATAGTGTGCTCGGGAAAAGGCGGTGTCGGAAAATCCTCCGTGTCCGCCCAGCTTGCGCTCAGCCTCCATGCATCTTCTCCCACTGCTCGGGTCGGGGTTCTCGATGTCGATCTTACCGGCCCGTCAATACCACGCATGCTTGGCCTGGATGGACATGGTGTGCACCAGAGCAGCGATGGATGGGTACCTGTGTATGCGGATGCGCTCGGGGATGGTGAACCCAGACTTGCGTGTATGAGTGTTGGATTTTTATTAAAGAAGAAGGGGGATTCAGTAGTTTGGAGAGGGCCAAAGAAGAACGCTATGATCAGGCAATTTCTGAGCGATGTCAGGTGGGGAGAGCTTGATTACCTCGTCGTGGACACACCTCCAGGTTAGATATCCTACGGCGTGACGAGGGCATCTCGAACTGATGTTAATATGTAGGAACATCTGATGAGCACTTGTCACTAATCGAACATCTTGCACCGGTACATTCACGGCTGTCTGCCGTCATTGTTACAACGCCGCAGGCTGTTGCATTGTTGGATGCTATGAAATGCCTATCGTTTACCCGGGCTGTCGCACTTCCTGTCCTTGGACTTATCGAGAACATGAGTGGATATGTGTGCCCTTGCTGTGGAGATGTTAGCAATGTGTTCTCTACAGGTGGAGGTGCAGAAATGGCGAGAAGAGAAGGGGTGCCGTTCCTTGGTAGTATGCCTATCGACACGGAGCTGGTTACATTGTTGGATGCTGCCGAGTCCACAGATCTAAGCGCTTCTGACGGCCATCACGATGAAGATAGCGAAGTTCGTTCATTTGGAGTTTTACAACGGTATCAGAAGACGTCGTCTGCGAAAATTCTGAGTACCGTTGTGGATAACCTCATATCGACGCTGCCTATGGTAGAACATGCGTCAGAGAGCAGCTCTGCTTAAGTAGTCTCAAGGGTACGTCATTAAACCATATCCGCTGCTTCTTACACATCCTATGCAGGTACAGACAAAATCGTAAATCGATACATATACCGTTGATGATGTATCCTTAGAATGTGTCTCTCTTGCGTGTACTGACACGGCTGTCAGCTCCGAGGAAGCGTTCAAGTCTATTCAGATAAGTGTCTGATCAGAGAAGCGTCAGCAGCGAAGCATACTTATCGAACCATACCAGCATACCTTCTGAGTATCCTGATGTAGGGAGGCAGACCACATGATATTGAAGTCCTTCACACGACGGGTTAGACCACAGGCTATTTTAAATCGCGCTGCACCAGCAAATAAATTGGCTCCCGAGCTCCGCAACTATATCTAAATGGATACACTATAATAAAAAGCTTGTCGCGATCACCTTACCTGCTCGGTTCATTTCAAGTTAAAGCGAAAAGGTAAAATACAGAAGTAGTACGTACTACCAGTCATATGATATCGTCAGAATCAGAACCTCCGTCATCGTATGACTCGAATTTCGATCTTGAAGTAATACCAAGGGTCCCACACAGCCATGACCTGCCCATAACCAGCCGTAAGGGCTCACCTCTCCTACATGCGAATGTCGAAGATCAGCCCTGCAAATCCATCAATTTCGGTATGTTTTTTGGACTACATACTTTAGATTCCACGAAACTTCGGAGTCTGCGTTCGGTAGATATCTCTCGTAAAATTTGCCACGTTCCTTCAACAAGCCGGATATGAATGTGAGTGTGTTCAAGTTTTGGCATTTTGGCCTCGCGTTTTATTCCTTGCTTTTTTGTTCCATGAGTCCAGTCATCTGATACCCCCATTCATCGCCCTCCGACTTCACAGATTCATTCTCGAGGCCTCCTTCAATTTTTACCTCTAACTTGCTCATCCTAACGATCTCTATCTTTTCACCTCCGGCGGCGACCTGATTCATTGTATCTACGGTCTAAGCTCAATGCATGACCGTCAACCGCCTTTCGGCTCCGTATCGACACCCGCTCCCTTACTTACATCCGCTTCAAGTTCAGCTCGTGATATCGCTCAGCCCGCGCGCCCGGGACCGCTTACCGACTCAAGTATGTAATTTTTGCAACATATAACACGACGCGTCCCCCCTTGTTGATATCTAAGTTATCCCCATGCTCTTTTCCCCTCCAGGTGGTCCCTCCGAGAAGAGACCTGATTCCCAATCATCAGGCATGACCGTCCGCAGGATAAGCGCGTCCGTCCGCGCCCATGCTGGGGATGATGATATCTTTACGACTCAAAACCACACTCGGACCCTTCGTCGCCGTTCAAGTCGCTTGTCAAAATGGTTGGAGGAGTTACGGGTTGGTTCCTCCACCGTTCAGCGACCAGATGGCACCGATAATTCTACTAATGCGGAAAACGTTGGAACTGAGTGTAATCCTTACCTGGCGTATCCTCACCTCAGTCTGGCAACTGTTCGTAGAAGCATGGATGATGCTACTAGCATGCACGATTATGTCGTAGTTGATGACGGCGATGTGCAAGAATATAATCCCCCTGAGGAGCCCGTGGATTTAGAGGTGCGTCATCTATGACACGTGTTAGATAGGTCGTCTCATACGTCAAAGGGATCGCATGGCCAATCGGCGCTTGGAGATAGTGCTGGTACATGTCATCAATCGACCATATGGCTCAATACCCCTCCATCTCGACATCAATTCCGTCTATCAGTTAGATCTCCTTCACCGGCTGCATCATCAGCATCTCCCAGTCCATCACGCCTGTCAATGTTTCAACGCTCCTCCCGTGCCACTTCCAACTCGGAGGCGAGCAATCCTTATGACCACAGTCGCTCTTCCAGCCTTCACACGTCACACCTTGTAACCGAAGCTCGATCGGAGGAACGTTGTACACGTTCAAGCCCCTCATCGTGGCGGTGGCGACCGAGTGTATTGGGGCATTTCGTGTCCCTCTCTGATGGTGATGCACGCTCAAGTACCCGTGACTCCCCAAATAGTTCTTCCCGCCCCAGCATGTCCTCAACTACCACAAGTTCCTCGTACGCAGTTCCATCTACCAATCTGATATATGAGGATGGAACATCGCTTGTACCCCATTCGACGCCTCAAAAGTCACATTTCTTTGGATCTTTGAGGTCGCGTTCCCACAAGGCTGTGACCTCTTCACTGTCGCTTTTCACCACTGAAACAAGTTCCTCATTTCCGGCATCATTCTCATTACCAGCATCTGAACCGCAGCACTCTCAGCCGCCAGGCTTTCCAAGTTCCTTGGCGCGGAAGTCGAGTACAATTCGGTTACCCTTCTCGCCAAAGTCGAGGGCCCTGAATAGTGCCCTTCCAAATATATTCGTGGAAGCGCCAGACGTTACGCGACCGCGCATCGTGTACACCGGCAAAAGCCACGCCCCCAGAGTTTCTTTATCTTCGATCGCTAGCCAGTCACGAAGCACGAAGAAGAAGTTAGTCATCGGTGGTATCGCGCCGAATGACGTTAAACGTCTTGAGGCCGTTCAAAAGTGGTGCCAGGTCTGACTCAGATCCTTGATTTTGGTTTCTTGTTACTGACTCCTGCCTTATCTTTAGTCATTTGGCGAAGTGGATCAAATCACGAGGATGCCTAATGGCGATCTCCATGTAAACTTCCACAAGGCTGAAGTTGCAGATACTGTAAATAGCTTCCACAGTCGTTCCTACTGTCGGAGGAGCTAACCCAGTTCTCCTTGCCAGGTGTGTCGTCTGCGTGCCAAAGTCTACATTGCGGGTGTAGGCAGCGTACATCTTTCTTGGTATTCTGGAAATAAACGACCATAACATCCGTCACCGCCCTCAAACCGTTTTCATTTGTCTGTAAAAGGTGAAAGCAGACGTAGATCGTCATAACTTCCATAACTTAACTGCGTACCTTCAGTGTACAACGCTGGAATTACGTTCTACACCCGCCTAATTCGATAATTATCCTTTCCCCAAGGCCTCTGGTCACTAATTTCATTGACGAGTTGTATCGATTCCACGACCATGTATACGTACGTACGTGTTATCCGTTCTGTCCAACATCAAACTGACGCTGTCATGCACGCAGACGACCATTTATGACCTCATTTGAGCATTTCATCCTATCTATCATCTACATACCTCAAGATTTCAGCTTCACTAATGCCATCTACCACGTATTCCTTCGTTGATATCCCTTTGCTCACGATACATACCTTCCACATTGTCAAGATGACCCTTCGCGAACTAGTTGCTTGGACAATGCGTTGGACGAGTGGGTACTCATACTTAACGATATTTCTTCCGCTATCAGCGATATCACGTTCTGTTTAGCCTCCTGTAGACAGACTGAATAGAAGAAAGGCCATTTTCCAAAAGTGTCCGTCCTCGATCTCGACTCCTGTTGCGCAGTACAGGGACATACAACTACACCACCTAGTCTTGAGAACGTGAGGCCTGACTCTTACTGCGCAATACAGTAACGATAATCAGTGCTTGACTAACGTTGTCCGTTTGTTCTTGCATTCTTTGCGCGTTGATATCGCTTCCCCTCCTCCGCGCTGCCCGCCTGGAACGTATGGAAAGTCGGACAACCGTGCTCGCTTTGTAAGCGTTCTTTTGCTCACGTGCATCACAAGGACACCAAACACCCCTCGGTACTTTACCCTACGACATTGTTTCAGTATTTCTTGACCAAATAACACCAAAATGAACATTTGTGTAACGGTAGTATATTCCCTTCGCTGGACTTATATCTGACCACAACTGAAATTTGTCAAGCTCATCAGAGACATTGGAGTCACTCGCGGAGACGTTGGACACTATGCCGGCATCCTTGTAAGCATGTCTTCATCGTTTTTGCCCTTTCATTCGTCCATGATGTTATTCTCTCCAGGGATCATCGTACTATGCAGTTCATATCCTGACCATTTTTCATTGGAGTCAGCTGTCCAACCACATCGGGCGGAAGCCCGTAATACTGACAGCTCTATTAGCAATTGTTATTTCAATATTTTTGTTTGGGCTGTCGAAGACCTTCCTTGGTCTGGTGGTCAGGTCAGCGTGTCCAGTTAAATGTCAAATAATAGCTGGGACCATCAATTCCTGACGTTCTCGACCAGTCGTATTGTCTGCGGAGCATTTGATCCGAGCGATGCTGTGGTCAAGAGCATGCCAGTGGACATCACTGACGCAACCAATCTCTCAGAAAGTGCGTGTTCTCGTCTTTTGGCCTGCTTACCCCACGCTGATACATGCGTTGGGCCTGGCTAACCGGAACAGACTGGGGGTCCGCGACAAAAATCCACTAGTCACAGGTCCTAGGTCCCTGAACTATGTCCTTGATAGCGGTGACAGGAAACTTGGTTCGTATCCATGAATGTGATGTTGATGGGGGCGTCAGGGTACATAGATGATTAAAAGAATGTTGTGGCATGTTAACCAGTGGGCCGTTCTTTTTTTTCACGCACCTAGACTTTGGCGTCGTGTCCGAATGTGGTTCACATGTGCTGTAAAACAATAGATCGCCATTGAAGGTCTCTAAACAAACTTCCGCCAAGTTGGGGATACGCATCTGGTAGAAGAATGTCCAGCATCTTGCAGCGGGTCGCGGAGATAGAAATTCACAGAATCGGAGTGAGTTAATCTTCAGTGAAATGGGAGTTCCTGACTGGTGGAGCTCAATTTCAGCGGGTCATGAATATGAAGTTCACTTCACCAAGCCCACCATGTATGATGCATCGCGATGTCTTTCCAGCACGTTCCTCGATCCAATACCCGAGTACTCTCGAGACCGTACGTTACTGGCCAACGCGGGCGCCCAAAGTGGCGGCACAGAGGACAGCTCATCGAAGATAAAACCGGATAACGCTAGTGAGCTGAACGAAGCTTCACTGGAGTTGCCATCTCTGTGGTGCTGATTTGCCCTGACATCGAGAGGAGGAAGACCAAAACCGATTTGCATGCTACCCCAAGGAACCAGGCAACCTACATGCTACGTTGCAAGGGGAAACGACACGCGTCATGAATGTGAGATAACAATCATATATAGCAGCAAAGCCACGGCACTGCATGGTATGAATTTCGGTTTCGCGGGAGACGCTATTACTTTCCATCACTGCAGGTTGGAAAGTTCGTCTCCGATGCTTCGATGTATCGAGTAGTATCAGAGGTATCGGAGGATTTAATACTTGATGTCATTTGACTCCAATGAAGTCACTTTGGTTGGATATATGTTTTAGATGACAACAACAATATTAATGTGGAACACGTAACTATTGACCTACCAGGAGTCCAAACACAGCCGCAAAACTTACTATCCCACTTTTAGGACCATCGGCTGGACTCATTGGAAATGCAACATCCCAATCTTTTGATGCCTCACGTGCCTTGCGGTGTCGATATGGCCAGTCTTGTTACGACCCGCACCCAATAGTGAGACATGATTCTTCTCGACTAGCGGAACGAAACTGCCCTTTCCCCAGCAACCTCGACTTCTGTGACCTGTAATCCTCAGGACGATGAGCGTTGTACATTCGAATGTAAGAGCTTGCCATTGCGTACATGATGTACCGATTCCTTAAGTGTGGAACGTGCCTTTTCTCTGCCATCGGCGCACCGGAGTGACATGAGCGGTGATGTTCAAGGAATCGGTACCCTGGTTGGAGTGCCTTCTATGCCAGCTGCATCTCAGGACGAATGTAGACGATGAGGCGTGTAGACGGCGTACTGGTGTGTTCCTATTATCAGATGACTGGATATAATCCTTCGGTACCGCAGAGACTTCAAAGCCAATCAGATTCTGCTCACCAATCTGGGGGCCGCATCAGACAAACTAGGATGATCCAACCCATCTTTATGTTAGTTTAAATATCAAATATTTTCTTCGCACTTTGTACAACATATAAACCTCTCCTAAATATCGTTCACCCCGATGTGAATGTCATTGATACTGAGGTTGCGACACTACCACGATAGATGCAATGCTGGCAGTCCGAGTCAAAAGGATAGTTTTGTATACAAGTGTCTTGTTGACACCGATTGAATGGCCGATACTTGCGACGGAATGTCTGCATTGGTGAAAAACAGATATATCCGGGAGACTCAGTGTGCGTGGCAGCCGTGACGGTACGCTGAAGTGCTCAAGCGCAATGTGTTTCCAAGACAAGGTATTCAAAACAATCACAAATAGCCACATTATCACTAGCTAGTGGTATGTACGTACTAGGCATCACTGGCGCTTGAATATTTGAATGGTCGCATGAATTAATGTTATAAGTAACCCTCAATAGCATCACATGTGTGTGCCACCGCCTGCTACCATTTTGATAGAAAGAACGCTTCTATTGGTCTGCCTATGGGAAACTGAGGGTAGGGTAAGTGTAGTACCACATACTTATATAGGTCATCATTGGTGTTGTGACATCAGTATAGACGTTGCAATCAGCCGACATGGCTCGTGCACTGCTTAGCGGAGTTACGAGAGCATCTGAGTGGCGGAGTAAATAGTTAGTATAATAGAATATCGGAATCGGCCGAATATATTCTGCGCGCCACGAACTCCTATTATCGTCGCTGTTCCTACTAAGCCCGGAACCTGAATCATAAGAGGTTACGAGCCCTGTGATACGTTAAAAAGCAAACGTTAAAGCAATACATTGAAATAATAATCAAGATGTCGAATCCCAATCCTAATCCTCCGACTTCTACAGCTACTGGGACTTCCACAACAGTACCTGTCCCTGCGGCAATACAAAAACCTAAAGAGATTAACCTCGGAGCGTTGTCATCATATAAAATCGAACCTTTGAAGGAAAAGAATTGGAGTGGATGGAAAGCCCATATGATGGGCCTTCTCAAGCTTCATGGTGTGTCTGAACATGTAGATGGCACAACAAAAAAGCCTGATCCGAACAAAACGGATGAGTTAGCATCATGGAATAAACTCGACCAAGTTGCACAGACCTTGATAATGAACATCATCACTGATGAACAGATGGTGCATGTCACCGAGGCTGCAATGGCCAAACAAACTTGATGAGTATTCATCAAGTTCGAGGACAACAGAGTGTCGTCGTCGTGAAGCGAAATCTATTCGCTATGCGAGCAGCTGAAGGCGTCAATATCGTCGAACATATCAATGAGATGAAAAGGCAACAAAACGACTTACATCTTATGGGCGAGATGATTACGGACAAGGAATATAAATCCTTGCTCGTGATGTCCCTACCGGACTCCTGGGATGCCTTCACATCCTCGTACCTTGGTACGCATGCGGATGCGCAAGGGACAAAAGGTATGACGTCCCAGGAGATTACCTCATTGATTATAGACGAGTATAATCGTAGGGAGACGCACAGTACGCAGGCGCAGGAGAAGGGGTATTATGCTAAGAGTACCGAACACGGGAAAAAGCGTAAGATTGAGAAGGAAAGACCGAAACAGAACTTACCGGAATGTTCGATTTGCGGAAGACATAACCATGTCACCGCAAAGTGCTATTGGAAAGGCAAGCCGAAGTGTACGTCCTGCGGCAAATTCGGACACGAGACTTCGGCATGCTGGGGAAACAAGACTTCAGGAGCGTCATCTAGACCTGTAAAGCTGAAACGTGCTTACCAAGTGCGAGGCAATATGGAGGATGACGACACCGATGTAGAGACTCATGCCTCTCATTGTGCAATATGGCAGTTTTCACTGGGGAGTACATGGCACGAACTTGTAGCATCACTCTGTGTGCTACCTGCAGCTATCTCTATATGAGGCGCAGCTTTCCCGCGCAACGCGCGCCATGCGCGCGTACCTTTCCCGCGCTTCACGATGTATATGCGCGCGCGCTTTCCCGCGCTGTAGCGCCCTATAGCGCCAGCCATCCAGAAGCATCCATCCACTGTCCACCAAGTTCCCTAGTGCGTATATTTCCATTTCTCACATTTGCATATCATTCCATCTTTATTTTTATCATGGACCCTTACTTACATATATCTTTACATACCTTACTCGGTAGCGCTTCAGCTCCGCATGACAGCGCTTAGGCGCCATACTTAAGCGCCAGCAGTACATACTTACTAACTTACTCTCCCACCAGAACGACAGAGGACTTACTGGTTACTACCCACTATTCACCTAGCAGAACATAGTAGAAATCTATTAAGTTGCACCTCGCATCTCCCTTCTCTTGTCTTACATCATATCATCACTTAAGCAAACTCACTCTTACTCTCTCTCATATCTGTATACACGAGCACACTTTCCCACGCTTCGCGCCATACACGCGCGCATTCCCGCGCCTTGCGCGCACCTGCGCTTTCTCGCGCTTTGCATTGGCCAACCAGTAGCGCTTTCAGCGCATACCTCTAGATCCTTGCTGCACTCGCTTCCCCTTTAGGGTCGAACGCACTTGTCGTCTCAAGTATAGCAGACTAGGCAACGCACGACCTTACAACAATTATAGATACAGTCTGGAGCATTGTTCGTGCCTCGCTGTATCGTTGAACCTTCACCGATATGGAAGTTGAAGATGAACCTAAAATTGTGTTTATGCTTCAGTCTGATCTTTCCCTGAAGAGCGAACAAGAATCAATGATCTGGTATGAGTGGTTCGCAGATTCAGGAACAACCTCGCATATAACCAGAGTTCGAACTGCACTTACAGAATATGTCCCAATGAAAAGTGAAGTTGTCGGGATAGGAAACGACCCCCTTGAAGTGAAAGGGCGAGGCACAGTTGAACTCGAAAGCTATATAGGCAGACAAAAGGTCAAATTTTATCTAAAGAATGTATTATACGTACCAAACACATCAAACAATCTATTATCTGTGCGCCAGCTAGACAAAGATGGCGGATGTGCTAGGTTCGGCGGTGGAAAAGTGGCCTTGTATGCCAAACAAGGACAACACATTGCAGAAGGACATATTGAACATGGCCTATATAAACTAAATGTTAGAGCGAAGTTAAGACTAATAGAAAAGACACATACCGTAAAAGAGAGACCACCAGCCGATTGGCTGACATGGCACAAAAGATATGGCCATGTAGCGGTAACAGGTCTTAAAAAGCTGTATAACGAAAAGTTAGTAGACGGCTTGAATATAGATAAAAGTGAACCTCAATTTGAATGCGAAGCGTGCATTCGCGCAAAACAAATAAGGGAACCTTTCCTGAAATTAGTAGATCAACGTGCAGAAAAACCATGCGAACTTACCCATAGTGATGTATGGGGTCCAGCAAGTGTTACGAACTAGGATAGTTCTAACAACGACAACTCGACAGA